AACGGGTCTTCAACAATAATTTAGTGCCACGTGACCGTTTTTAATGCGTCATCTGTTTTCCACTCATGTTAGAGATACGAAATGTATTCTTGTTGCATAATAATCTGTCACGTTAGCTCTCAATCATTGTGAGGACTCAGTAGTAGTATATGTTATACATTATCAAATTTTATTTTTGTTTTCTTATTTATCTTGTAATTCCTAAGTATTTATTGGAAAAAAAATTCTTGAATGAGATGCCTGTAACTTTTTTATTTGTTAACCAGGTTCTGCTTTCAACATTGAACTCACATAGCAAAACATGAACTGGATTTTCTAAATAAAAAGGTTCAATCACCTTAGGTTTTTCATTTACTTTAGGAAGGGTTCGTGGAATCGTGTTAGAAAGGAGGCAATAACAAGGATCCAACCAAATCAGATTTAGTTCTAAAATTGTTCTTATCCATCATTCGGATGCCCCCTTACAAGCAACACTCTTCAAGAAACTTGTGCAAGCAAGGACTAACGAGGGTCTTACCTTTTAGCGTGTGATCCCAAACACTTACTTAGGACATCAGATATATTGATATATTCAATGGGGAGTCGTTAATCTATGTCAGTAGTAATACAAGGTGGTCCAAAGAGTTGTTATCGTAGGAGGGCTAGGAGGGTGGGGTTTGTCTTGAACGATAGCCCGGCTCAAGGAAATTTAGTCACCATGCAAGGTTACAATAAGGGAAGGAGCGCTTTTTATGTGTGCACGAGTATTACTGTAACAACAATTCCGCGGTGCACTATTGCACGTCGTAAATGATGTTCAGCAATGTCCGAGATGTCAGTTGATTTGGCAACTGATTCATAAGTTCAAGGAAACTGGTTCTGCAGGAACCAATGAGAACATTGTGAGAGTGAGAGCGTTTTCGAGACGAAAGCTTGGTTGCTCTCAATATTTTCATTGGTTCTCGCATAGACCTTCGACGGTTGGGGACGCGTTTATTCAACGTTGAACCAGTTTCCTGAAACTTATGAACTCACTGCCTAATCTGACAGCGTTGACATTGTTGAACATCGTGCAAATTGTAATGTCAACATTTACAACCTGCATTAGTGGCGGAATTATTGTAATGTTAATACTCGCGCACACAAAATGAGCGGTCCTCTCCCGTCTAACGTTGCATCGTGACTAAATTTCCCTGAGTCGCACTATCGTTTAAGAGAACCACCCTGTACTGTAATTACTTCAAAATATTCGGGTTACCCATCGATATAACGTTGCATAATTACAAAGAGTGTCAGTTTGTTGAACTGACACGATTTGTAATTATGTAGGAAGTTTGAGATGTATAACCTTGTATAGTTTGAAGTTCGAATTGTATTCGATGCGATTATTTTTTTAGTAGTTCGGAACGAACGTCAACATTTTACGAAGCGCTTTATTTGTATGTAACTATATGAATTGGTTACTATGAAAATAAATCTGAATTTCTGATTGTTGGAGTTACTCCATGTATTCACGTAAATTCACGTATATTCGAAATCATACAAGATAGCTGAACGTTCCGATTGGGTTTAAATCATAGGAAGAAAACAGTCACAATGATTCCATTAGCGTATACGTATTAAAGGGGACAAATACAAAATTAGTGATGGTAATTGAAAGTTACAATTTTTTTAAACAAATGTATTTTGCTTTTGGGTGTATGATAAATTGACATTCATCATACAGGGCGTGGAAATGAATTCTGAATCGAGACTCTATCACGAATCTGCGATTAGAGGTCTATAAAAATCACAAGTTTCCATCGTTCAAGTTTGAACCCCCTGATTGGGTATGAAAGTGTTGAAAAGGAATATTCTCAGATAAATTATGAACATACAAAAATGGATATATATTTATATAAAGCAATACATTGAGAATTCGCATTCTCTATGTGATGAGAATATTAACTCTTTTTCAGTTAATTCAATAGAAAACAACTACTTTCCTGGCTATATGCCACGACGTGTGTATATACATATTTTTGTTTGAAGGAGAATGCAAATTCTCAATTTCAGAAATTTTTATATTTTATTTTCAAACTCTTATCGTGTGTGTTCAATAGATATAATTCAATGTTCGTCGTGGCATATAGCCAGGAAAGTAGTTGTTTTCTATTGAATTAACTGAAAAAGAGTTAATATTCTCATCACATAGAGAATGCGAATTCTCAATGTATTGCTTTATATAAATATATATCCATTTTTGTATGTTCATAATTTATCTGAGAATATTCCTTTTCAAAACAAATCTAACCTAACTTTGCCTAAATAAATACACGTTTTTCATAGTAAATATTTTTGACAAAAGTTCGAATAAAAATAAGAGGATACTATTTTTTTAAAGAACCTAGCCCAACTCGACTATACACTGATTTCCTTACTTCCTAATAACATAATAAAAATACTGATACAGTTCATACACGGCAAGAAGTGCTTTCTAAACAGTTTCCGTGTGCAACGCTTTGATAAGTACTTAAACTCTCACCTAATATCAGGATATAAAATCAAGGTCGTCAAAAATCGTCCTTGCAGGAGGTTGATGTGAGGGTTAAATGTCAATATTATCCTATTTTTTTGGTTCAGTCGAACGTTATAAGAAAAAAATGTCAATTATTACAGTAGAAACGTGAATAGTCAACAGGGTGTCCCTGAAACGATTGTACAAAATCTTAGAACATACCGGGTGTCCCAAGTTATCGTATATACAGGCAATATCACGCTTATTTGACGAGATAGTTGAAAAATTCAAAAACTTCATTGAATGGCATTGAAATAGGTACCTTCCTCATGACATATAAAAAATTCATTATATTTGACAGTTCTCTGACAGCTATACCCCCCACATTTTATTTTCAAATGGCATCCCCTGTATATTTTCATTGGAAATAATGTGTCACTCAATTTGGAATACAACGATAGCGTATACTTGGTATTTTTTTATTGATAATAAAAATATCAACATTTTGTGACTTGTTTCAAGTTACTCAATTATCATTATAAAAATGTAATATTGCATCTGCTCATGTTTTCTGTGTCTAGAAGCCGATGCTTCTCAGGTAATAATAATTTTGAACACATGCTGTGATTTTTAGTTCATTTTTTGATTCGCATAAAATCTATTTTAGTTGAAATTCCATACTTCATTAAATGTTGCTGGTTTTGTTATAATAATACAAAAAATACCAAGTATATGCTATAGGATGGCTCACAATTTTCAATGACAATATACCAGGGGCGGGTGCCATTTGAAAATAAAAAGTGGGGGATAGCTACCAGAGAATTGTCAATTGTAATGGATTTTTTATATGTCATGAAGAAGCTACTTCAATGCCATTCAATGCAGTTTTTGAATTTTTCTATCATCTTGTCAAATAAGCGAGAAATAACCTGTATACGATAAATTGGGACACCTGGTATAGTCCTAAGGTCAAAATAAGCCGATTTAAAGCAACTTACCTCAGTCCGAAAGTGTTCCGTTTCCAAGATACAGGGTGGTACATTTGAAAAATAAAAATGGACAAAAGTACCTACACTTCAAAAAAGTATTTTGAAAAATCTACTTTTGCATTGCCCATTCACTGACGAGATTACATCCACGAAGTTAACATCAGCAAACAGGTTTCATTTAAAATAATTTGAATAATCATTGTTTTGTTTTTACTGTTTCTCTACAACCATTTTGTCATCAAAATCTTCAGTCGAGCTGACTACCACTGGAATAAATAATATTTCAGTGCAAGGAAAAGTATACAAAACAAATGTTCACCTGCCATTATTGCGAAAACTCTTAGATTGGCCTAACCAGTTAGTCTTCGCTTATTATTTATCAACTGTCACTAAATGATGATTGGCAGCTAATAAATTTGGATAATTACATTTCGTTAGGAAAAGTATGAGGTATACTTAACATATTGTCTTCATATTGATGTGCGCAGCTTTTTTCTTTCTTTTTCTTGGAAACCTGCCCCTGAAAATTTGCCGCCCCGAAAAAGTTGCCGGTCTAGACTATAGTCGGCCTAATGGTATATCCGTGCATGCTTATAATCTCCAAAAGTTCAAAAAAATTCCAATACCTACCTCCTATCCCTATCCTCCCTAGGTACCTACGCTCGATGTTCTTCGAACATTATAGAGATTTCCTTTTCGTGCGCTCGACTTCACATTATCAAGAACATCGCAAGAAGAAGTAAACATGTTTGTAGAAATATTCGCAGCAAACTCTGCCACATTAGATTCCCATAGGGAAGAGTACCACCAGATATTGTTCCTGTGGAGAAACTAGAATGCCCGAAATCGCCTTCCACCATCAGACGCATTCTGTCTGGCTTTGAACTATCCACCTTGGCTTGGAAACGAATAAGGCCATATTATAGCAATGTCTTTACCAATCAGAGAATCTCAACAAGCTGAGTCAGCACATATTTTTGTTGTTAACGTCAAGATATGTGGAAACAACTCCTTATGAGAACTCGTTTGTCAATAAGACAAAACTTTGGAATCCTTCATCAAAGGAAGTGGAAAAAAACCCTGCATCTTCCAGTTTTTTTTTCTTTGACCATATCAACCCTTAATGTATCCTTGACAATCCATTTATGTTCATCAACCAAAGTTTTCCAATAACATACTCTCCTTTTGATTCACTAACTCACTTATTGTCTATTCTAGAATCTGGACTTTGACAGATATGCTTATAGATTATCATCATTTTAACACTGATGTTATGACCTGGGCCCATAACCTGTTTAGAGAGCTTCACATATCTAGGATCCAATTCAGTGAACTAGCTGTTCACAATATAATACAGGGTTTGATGTGTTGATATTTTCTGCAATAAATTGTGAATCTTTTATATAAGATTCATAATAATATTGATGTGACATCCTTGTAACATGGACATTGAGAAATATCGCCCCTACAGAATGTTCTGTCCACCAAGTAACAACAAAAATAGATTTGATTCAAGATGCCAGTATGTTAAAAGAAGATCAACACTTGGTTTATTATTTATATACAAAAGAAATAAAACTAAATTAACAAAAGTGGTAAAAATACTACAACAAATAAATTATAGCAATTTTCATTCAAATTCAATACAATACATCATTCAATAATACCATTAGTTTGTCCCTTGTTCCTCAAAGTCTTCTGCAAAACGTGTGCATCGGCTGGTTCTATTCTTTTGTAATAGTGCTCCTTTGTTTCAACAATTTCAAACCCAAATTTCTTATAGAAGTCAATGGCCCCTTCATTATTCACTTGAACATGCCTAAAATCGACAATACTTTGAATAGTAGGGGTATTCCGGGTCTACATAATACAATGGGATATAGGTGGGATTGGGTGTATACCACCAATGACTTTTTATCCTCATGAATCAATGTCAAAATTTGGCATCTTCCTCTGAGATATTGGTGTCTTCAACAGCCCCTCAAAAGTCCCCCACGATAAAAAGGTATGTCAAGGTCATCATCTGACGTTGTGATGACATGAAAACTACGGGAAAACATTCCTAACTCCTGGCTTGGATGATATAATTATCATAAAAAAGACAGACATTTATACAAAAGTGATTTACATTTTACAACAATAACATGTTAAACAAAACTACGGATTGTATACAGGAAAGTTTACTGAATGATATTTTGTTCAACATAGGTTTGCCCTGTTGTACATGTACCAATGAGTGATATTTGATCACTCTTAATAAAAGTAGTGGAGATAACTTCGGGTTTTTATCTATGAACTACACCACTCCCCTTTGAGTTACCATGGACTTCTTCCAAAGATAGTATAATCATGTGCCTATTAAATCTTCATCCAAGACTTCAAAGAAAATAGTTGTTTTAATTCTGATATTTAAACCCTATATTACATGAAAATCAGCAAAACAATTTAAAAATCACATATTTTTTTTCTAAATTTTGAACGGCGTTCATCATCAAAAATATTGCTGGGACAAAAAATGTAGAACAACTTTTTTGTGTAAATCTATTGCTTTTTTTATTTTGTACATAAGTATAGTCGTTGATTTACCATTTGTTAGCATCTTTAGATTGCTATAGTTTATGCAAAGTCAGTTGGAAAAACACATCACTGCAAGCCATCGACCCCTTCGAAAGTTCAAAGAGAGCGGCAGCGTGGCCCGCCATTCGTTTGATGATCTGTTCATCTGACTTTGCATAAACTTTACCAATTGTTGAGTGTGCAATCTATCATAGGGGACTTTTGAGGAGCTATTCAGGACTCTAATATATACCTGAAAACACACTTAAACCTGTTGTATGAATTATTCCACAGTTAGCATTTTTCTTGCCTAATTTCAGTAGCAAACTTTTTAGTAATATTCAGAAAAATGCAATACTGTTTTTATCCAGTGACCATGAACAGATGTAGGATTAGCTAGGCTTTATGTAATTCCATATTGTACCAGTATTTTACAATTACATGTCCTGTGCCTGAGAACTTTTAGGAAATCACATAGTGAATTTATTTCATTTGGATACATTGGTAATAAATAGCAGCTGATGATCTCAAATTCATCATTTCTTCCATGACGTTTTTTTTTTCATTGTTTCAGCTCAACATCAAATACCATCAAATTGAAATTGAAGTTTTTCAAAATGGTGCAGCTGCATATTTTGATGCATTCCAGGTGTCAAAAAATTTAAACAACCAATATTATTTATAAAATGTTATCAATTTCATACACAAACAATGGATTCAAAAAATTTTGGGCAACTTAAAAAAAATTTGAGTGAAACCAAAGGGACAAAGGCAAAGTTGTCAAGGGTAGCTATGCCTAGATGAGGAAGTACCAGATTATAGTGCAAGTGCCAAACACCAACTACTAGGAATAATATTGCATTAATAATAATGTATGTCATATGATTCCAATTTTGAAAAAGAAATTGAACAAGAACCTTTTGTCCAAACATTTTTGCTGATTATGGCTGATGCCAATCATCCAGATTACCAGTTGAATAATTGTTCATGTGTAAAAGAAGTGACCTTGAGTTGATAAATCATTCTGATTTGTTTGCTAAAACCTACAAGTATTAGGATATTAAGGTGGATATTACATTAAATCCCAGAAAATAGTGTCCTATTTGAGATATCTAACTTGATAATGCTTCTGGCCGAATTTGAATTCAAAATCATCAAACATGCAACTGGAACAATACAGTTTCCTAAAATTTTTGACTAGCCAGTAAGTTCCTTGAGCCACCAGATAAAGTAGTATTATTAGAAGTAGTTTATTCTGTGCAAGAAATCATAAAGGTTGACTTCCACAACAGGGGTACCTGAGTATTTGAACATTATAGGGTGTCCCATTCCTGCACTCTTAGAGATGAAAACATTGTATTCATTAGGTAGCCCATATATTCCTATCCAATGATTCACAAGATATTCCAGCAACCTCCCAGTAACTTGAACTTACTTACTTACTTACTTACTTACAGATTCTTAAATGCACATTTTGACAATAATTGAAGAGTGTGGTGGCAATAAACAAAAAATAGACTTATTGAAAATATTTATACTTCAGCCAATGAATGCCCAGAAAGGGGGTGTAGAGGACATAGAAAAGGACATTTTTTGAGACTAGGGATATGTTCTGAGTAAATAGGAAGTGAAAATAAGTCCCTGAACCTATGAGGGAAGTCAAGTACAGGTGGCAACATAAAAGTTCCCTTTTTTTAATTATCCTTCATACCTTGAGAATGGTATGTAACAGCAAAAAACTGAATCCATCCAAAATGTAGCTATTAAAATTAACCACAAAATTGTATCAGTAGGTTTTTTCCATATCTCATTGTTTTCCAGATATCCACTAGCAAATCATGTAAATTAAATTTTTCAGGAAAATGGATAGTAGTTTGTGAATTGTACATCCTCATTTTGAATCCAAAGTGATTTTCAACCTATCTTTCCTCCAAAGATCATTAAATGGCTGTTGGGGACACAATACAAGCTAATTTGGGATGAATTTTTCATCACTGGACTGTTCAGATTTTCTGGGATAATTTATCTCAAACACACATTAGTAGATTGTATGGACTTTGATACTTACAAGAATATACTATCAAAGTTACCATCCTGTTCAACATAGCTCAATACATGCTGTACCATCATTGTGCCAATACCCAATCTTCTATAGGGGTACAAACATCCAAGAGTCATTATGTATAATCTCCTAGACTTCTCAGATGTGTCTATTCGGCAACAGACTGCCCCAACTACAATGTCATTGTAATAAGCTAACTTTGCCAATTCTCCAGCTTCTAATACATCTTTGTAGAATTTGTCATTATATGAGACTGGAAATACAACACTATTCAAGCGTTTCAATTGCTTGATGTTGTGTGGAGTGATATTGCCCAGCTCGCTGTTTTCTCTGCAATACAAATATGGTCACCATTAATGGGAAATATAAATGTAATGAATCAACGAAATTACCTGGTCATGATTATTTGAATTTGATAAAAAAAAGTTCAAGTCAAGACTCCAAGAAGGGCAAGAAGCCGCAAAAATAAAAAAATTAGAAATAAATGGATATGGATATGGACATGACAATTTGACAACACTGACAGCTCAGACAGTCGGCAGTGACAGATTTGAGATTCTGCAGGTGTCAGAAGTGCCTAAATCTTTCGAACCATTTCATCACGTGATTTGTTGAGATTCGTGTTTCTTCCATGTTTCTTCACAATAATGTGAAAGCTGTGCTTGCGTCAGGGAGTTTTATTCTGGTCCACTAATAGCATGGCGTCAGCACACTGTGATCATATGTATAGTGATTTAGGCTGTGTCAAGACGTTCCATTTCAAAAAACATAAGTTTCTTGAGACACACTGTATGATGAAGAAGAATTTGAAATATGCATCTGTTAGACCTACAACTCTTGTGAAAATTGTGTTCTTCTATCTCTGATAGCAGAGCTGCAATCTCAGTTTGTCACACTTTTGGTCCACCCTGTATAAATTATGAAACGTAAGATGAGAATTCTGAACATTCTCGAATTTCTTCATTCACTTCATCGTCCATGTGACTGAAGGCCCTCTGTATGCACTGAGTTGTAAAAATCCCTTATTCAGATCCTCTTCGGACACGTCACATTTGCGGAATAGATCGAATTATTAATTCATAAATCAATTATCAAGTCAGATTGTGGTAGAATGTGGTGCAATGAGCTAAGGATCAGCATTCGACGCCTGCTACGTGACCTGGAGTTCAATCGATCGAGGGTCAACTTTTCTTAAAACTTTTCTCTCAAATCATTTTCGGAAGAATATATTTTCTAGGATGGTTGTTCAGAAATCTAGTTCTGTTTGTCCTCTCTGGTAATTTCCTAATGAATATACTTTTTGGGAAGGTTCATTTTTAGGTAGAGTTCAGGTTTATTGAGACTCACTCTCAGGTCGAAATGAAATATCTAGAAGGGGTATTCTCTTCTCCTTTCTCATGCAGAAAGAATATTTTCCTCCTCACGCTGTATTGGTAGCTAGAATGATAGATGTAGTGATAACAACTGTCGCGAGGCTCTCGTGGTGATGTTTGATGTTTGGGTGCTGTCATGTGTCATATTATCATTTGGTTCAGTTCAGTTGGCCTGACTGAATATTGACGTTTCACTTTCACGATTTTTCTTTTCGAAAAAACTTAAAATGGAGAAAAGTGACAGAAGAATAGAGAAGGCGTCTGCAAAAAACGAAACTGTCAGGGATGTTGCATAAATAAATAAATAAATAAGTATAGTGCAAACACGAGTGTTGAAAATCATGATTTAACGAGTTCCTATAATATTCGCTATTGCTTATGGGCAAAAGTGATTCTGTGATTTTTCAAGTTTATGACCTTAATCAGAATATAGTATGATGGCTGAATTAACTGAAGCAAAAGTGTTCTTCAATGATCCAAGCATGCTGAACACACTACCACCTGATGAACCTCAGGAATCTGAGAACCTTCTCAACTCTGAAACTGAAACATTGACTCCTGATCAAGAAATGATGATTGATCAATTATTGTCAGCTTCCAGTGAATCTCTGGAGCCTCAGAAAGACCTTACAAAAGATGACATGTATTCAAACAGTAATGAGGAGCAACATGTTGAAAGTCCTACTACAAGAGAGACTTATACTTTTAAGTGTGTTTTTTGTGACAGAGTATTGACTGCTGTGGATAGTCCAAAGTTGATGGAGTGTTTGCATAATTCTTGCTCTAGTTGTATCAGCAACAGATTATATGAGCCAAATGATGGAATGCAAGGTAAGATCTTATGTTCAAGGAAAAAAGATTGATTTGTTGTTTTTTGTCTTCATAATATTTGACAACTTTCCTTGAATAAGTAGGACATGACCTCAAAACTTGTAGGCAGTGTATTATATTTTATATACATTTATATACAGATTCCTCCACATAAACACTATGTTTCTAAATTCACCAATTTGGTCCATCAACACTAGTAGAAGTAGACAATTTTGCTGTTGTTCAATTCAATCAATTTACAGTAATAAAATGAGATGTGGACATGCTATATTGCTTAATCCACAACTTGATGAGCCATCAATCCAATGTCCATTTTCTAGATGAATAGGTGGATCTATCTGTGTTTTGATCTCTATAATATAATTTGAAATGTAACTGAAAAACTTGAAATAGGACATATCTTCAGAGAATTCACTGTTATGTAGCAGCAGAACTAGTATGACATCAGATAGCTACTGATAATTTATTCCATTGTCATTTCATCTCAGAAAAAAGAGAATGGTACCTATAGGACATTAAAAATCCACATATTTTTTCCATGTAAATGATGGGATTAGAAGCAATCATAAACAACATTAGAGTGAGACCCAAGAATCAACATGGTGCAAGGAAGAAATTTGCTGATGGTTGGGGAAAGTTGGAAAAACATTTTGCAGCTCCATATGCTAAATTATGAATTAATTCAGTATGCCAATGAAACTAATTCACAAATCATTCAATCCTAATGCATTCAAAGAGATCCTTCAGATACCTCAAGGCTCAAGATACAAGTTACCAGTAAACAACTTGCTGAAATCACCTGCAACAAACAATGATTCACATAAATATTATTTAATAAAATAGGATTTGTGAGGGGTAAATCTCCAGGAAAAATGTGTACACCAGACTTCCAATGACCAAAGACTCCCAAAGACTTTCAAAGACTCCCAAAGACTTTCAAAGACTCCCAAAGACTTCCAAAGACACCCAAAGACTTCCAAAGACATCCAAAGAATTCCAAAGATTTCCAAAGACTTCCAAGAGAGTGTACACCAGACTTCCAAGGAGATTTACCCCTCGAGGATTTGCGAGGGGTAAATCTCCAGGAAAAATGTGTACACCAGACTTCCAATTACCAAAGACTTCCAAAGACTTCCAAAGACTCCCAGAGACTTTTAAAGACTTCTAAAGACTTCCAAAGACATCCAAAGACTTCCAAAGACATCCAAAAACATCCAAAGACTTCCAAAGAATTCCAAAGACTTTCAACGGAGTGTACACCAGACTTCCAAGGAGATTTACCCTTCGAGGATTTGTGATCAGTGTGAAACCAGCCAGGACTTCACCAATTATTCAAGGCAAGAGCCATACCACCAATGGTCCTCTTTCACTAACTCGCACTAACTTATATTCATGGCTGGCCATAGAATTACTGAAACCTCCAAACTATGTCCATGAATGAAACTATTTTCCATAAATTCATTCATTGGAGGGTCCTTGATAATATGTATACACATGGCACCTTTTTGAAATTAAAAAAAATTATTCAAAATACAAGTGGATGTGTGTTTTTTTCTATGAATGTGTTCCTCTAATGGTTCCTGATAATATGTATATCTCTCAATATTTTGTCCGGCAAGAATTAACTACACAGGGCCACATTTTGGAAATTTCAGAAAAAAATCATTAGTTTTTCAAAATACACATGGATGGGAGTTTGTTTCAATGAATGTATACCTCTTATGGTACTTGATAATATGTATATCTCTTAATATTTTGTCTGGCAAGAATTAACCCCACAGGACCCCTTTTCTGAAATTTCAGAAAAAATCTTTACTTTTTCAAAAACACATGGATGGGAGCTATTTTGAATACTTGTGTTCCTCTCATTATATATTTGATAATCTATTTATTTCACAATATTTGGTCAGGCAAGAATTAACCCCAGAGGACCTTTTTTTTTGGAATTTTGAAAAGAAAATCAGAATATGCATGGATGGGAGCGAGGATGGGAGCTTGTTTATGAATTTGTCCCTCTGATGGTTCTTGATGATATGTATATCTAACAATATTTTGTAGGGCAAGAATAAACCTCATATGGTTCCTTTTTTGAAATTTTGATGAAAAATCATAACTTTTACAAAATACACATGGATGGGAGTTTTTTTTTCAATGAATATGTTCATCCTAGTGTTCATCTAATGGTACTTGATAATATTTCCAAAAAAAATCATGACTTTTTCATAATACACGTGTATGGGAGTTATCTTCTAAGCATGTGTTTCTCTCATAGTTCTTGATGATAATTATCTATATCTCACAATATTTTGTCGGACACTAAATAACCCCACGACGGGGCCCCTTTATTGAAATTCTGAATACACACAAAATACACGTGAATAGGAGTTTTTTCTATGAATGTGTTCCTCTAATGGTTCTTGATTATATGTATATCCACATGTGTTTTGAAAAAATTATGATTTTTTTCTCAAAATTTCAAAAAAGGGGCTCTGTGGGATTAATTCTTGCCCGACAAAATATTTTGAGATATACTGATCATCAGTTCCATTAGAGGAACACATTCATAGGTGAAAAACTCCACGTGTTTTTGGAAAAGTTATAATTTTTTTCCGAAATTTCAAAAAAGGGGGTAGGGTTAATTCTTGCCCGACAAAATATTGTAAGATATACATTTTTTCAAATCTGTTGGAGCGCACGGAAGAAAATCCCTATAATTATCGTGGAACATCCTGTGTACCTAGGGTGGATAGGAAGAGGAGGTAGGTGTTGGATTTTTTTTTTAACTTTTGGAGGATATAAGTTCTTGGGAATACTTCCATTGGCTTCGCCGTTCTATAGAAGAATGAGTTTTGGTAGGGTGCTGTTCGACATTTTTCAAGGTTGACGACAAACGGATGTGCGGACTAGGCCAGTCGAGTTCGTGTGACTGCTTGCTAGTGGATTTCTGAGTAACATTTCCATTAGAAGTATCTATAGAAAAGTGAAAGGTCGCTGACTTTTCCACGGTGTTCTAATTTGGTCAAAGAGTTAGGGACTGTGGCATCACCCACCTGGCGAATGGATTTTCTCTGGAGAGAATCTAAGAGCATCAGCGTATGTTTGGGTCCTGAACCCCATACATGAGAATAGTATTCTAAAACTGGCAGTACCTGCGATGGATCGGACATGATTTTCCTATGAGAGAGTATTGCTGATGGTAATACCGAGCATAGATATAGTGGTCTTGGTGAGCATGCTGGTAATACACATTGTTATATCAGGCACACTGAGTTCCGCGATTCTAGAGAAGTTACAGACTTGAGTTTTGGTGGCTTTGAATTCAACTAGGTTGTTGGTTCCCCTCTTCCCCAGGCTGTAATTTCCGCGAGATCTTCATTGACAGCGTAGGCCTGCCCCCGTCATAAGTTCTTAGTTTCATGGGAAGAAATGCAAATTCTAGAAGAGAACGCAGTATGGAGAAATTAGTGTAAAACCAGCCACGAGTTCCAGCCACGACTTCGCCAATTATTCAAGGCGCGCACCATACCACCAATGGTTGTTTATTACTAATTTATACTCATTGCTGGTCATAAAATCACTAAAACCTCCAAAATATGTCCGTGGATGAAACTGTTTCCATCAATGTCCTTAATAACCTGTATATCTCACAATATTTTGTCGGGTAAGACTATTTGTGTGAAATTATTAAGGACCCTTAGAGGAATACATTTATAGAAATAGTTTCATCCTCGGAGATATTTTGTAGGTTCTATTAATTTCATGGCCAGCCACGAGTATGAATTAGTAATAAACGATCATTGGTGGTATGGCGCGCGCCTCAAATATTTGGCGAAGTCGCGGCTGTAAGTCGTACCTGGTTCCACACTGAAAATGGAGAGTACTATCGCCAGCAAAGCTGTGGATTGCTAAACACGGTCGAATGCCTTCGATATATCTAACGCCACAGCTAGAGATCTTCGGTGGCGAAAGCCATATTGTCTATCATTAATGATTCTTGAGCTTCCAGATATTTAATGAGCTCAATGATGATGGCATTCTCCATCACTTTGGAGATGACTGATGCAGCGTAATTGGCTTATAGTTGTTGGGCAGGCTTTTGTCTTCTTTCTTGGGGATGGGTTGGACTCTAGCTATTTTCTAGCAAGATGGAAAAATATCAGACTTGTAGGATGGTAAATGGGTTGCAGAGAATCGGTGTCGATTCTGGTGCACACTTTTTGTGAATAATGGGTGGTATTCCATCAGGACCATTAGACTTATTCGTTTTGAGACCAAGCAGAATGCGTCTGATAGTGCGTTGACGAAAGACGATTTCAGGCATTCGACTTTCAACGGATGGAATATCTGGCGGCACTCTTCCCTGGGAATCCAAGGTGGGGTTTGCTGTGAACATCTCTGCAAAAATGTTCGCTTTCTCTTGCAATGTTTTTTCTAATGTACCGTCGGCTTTGGAGAAAGGTGGGAATGAACAAACTATTAGTGAAATCCTTCCGACTGCTTTACCGAGGGACCAAAACGAACGGAAGCCATTGGGACAATCTATGAGTCTCGATCTTATTTTGGTATAGTATGATTCTTTTGATGCATTTATTGTTTGGCTGCTGTTATCCTTGCTTCAACATATTCTGCTCTAGTCACGAGGTTAGGGTCCTTGCGCCAGCGATGGTAGGCTGTTTGTTTCAAAGCAACAACAAGGACAGTTCTGATGGGAGTTCTGAATTAGCGCTCAAAGAGTTTCTCAATATAGTCTTATTGTGGTTTAGTGACAAATCGATACTTTTTCATTTATCAGCTGTCATAAGGTGCAGACCTCAAAAAACTAACATTTTCGATAAAAAATAATGCCAACGAACTGAACACTTCTGATGGAAGTTCTCTGTAGCGCTCGACGAGAAAATAGTCTTATTATGTTTCAGTGACAAATGGATACTTTTTCATTTATCAGCTGCCATAAGGTACTGACCTCGATAAACTAACATTTTCGATAAATTATTGATTCCAAAAAACTGAACAGTTCTGAGTAGCGCTCGACGAGTTCTTCGAAATAGTCTTCCTGTGTTCTAGTGACAAATCGATAATTTTTTATTGAATAGCTGATGATAATTTCTGCTGCTGGATGGTTCTGCTGAATTAGGTCGAGCTTCAAAAACAAGATTTCGAAGAGTTCTTCATAGGATGGATCATTTGGTGATGAGTAGAGACAACTAAGATATTTGGTTTGTTTCTGGCTATCGAGTTTGAACCACATAACATCAAACTTATTTGGCTTCAAAGTGTTTTATCTCGATGACATGAGAGATTGGTTCTAGAATAGAGGCAGAGACCTCCCTTGAACCTGAAGCGTGTGTGGAGTTCATACCCAGGACAGCGCATATATATATATATGTCTCAGTCAGGGCGAATATGTCTGGATTTTCAGTCTGAAGGTGTCGATGGACATCGTTGATGTTCTTACTTAGGCCACGGATGTTATATAGATCTAAACTGCTCAACACATGAAACGTAAAATCGCATTTTTTAGATCAAATTTGAATCATCATGACTTTCGATTTCCTCAACCGATTCTCAATTATTTTTCAGTTTCTGTAAGCTCGTTTCATTGACTATCAAACCTATGGATATGACTACTTCATCTCTTCCGGATCAGATTCTACAGGACGATAATCAAAGCTGTGCATTTTTCCAGAAATTTCAAACGCCTCCCGTTTGAAAGACAAATTTTTCTATTTGGAGGTATTAGTTATTTCATGGCCAGCTATGAGTATAAATTAGTGATAGACGATCATTGGTGGTATGGCGCGCGATTTGAATAATTGGCTGGAATTCGTGGCTGGTTTCACACTGAGATGCGGCATAGTGTTAAACCAGCTTCGAGTTACATCCACGACTTCGCCAACTATCATGGAGTAATCACATACATAGTTTGACCAAAAAGATTAATGCTCCAATTGGCATCTGGAAGCGTCTGTCGTAGTACCTTCTGAGATTTCCAATAAAATCAGTGTACTACTCTCTGATACATTGCCACTTCCAATATCTGGTATTGATTTGCTTTCCACCCTGTAAAAATTGGTGAAACAAGTGGAGACACTCCATAATAAAGCCATAAAAAATTTATACTCACTGCCCTATAGATATAGTACAGTTAATCTTCAATATTTTAAGTTTAGATTAAATGTATGAACCAATCCAATTCCATTCATCAAACCATTAACAGACAAAAATTCTCTAATCTGTCATTTACGACATGTGATAGTTTATATTCATACGATACACATAATAGCAAGAAGTTATTCTTACTCAATGCATCTATGGAAGCCTACAAAAATGTTGATTTTATCGCCCTATATACAGGGTATATGTGCATGGGAGTTGAGGCGATCTATATGAAGAACTAAAAACTAAAAGTAGCATGATAATAACAAATTTGTAGGAACGGAGAAGAAAATATGGAAATATTTTCGCAGTTGTGAAGCATCCTGTTTTTCCGGAAGCGACTTCATTTTTGATAGTGTCAATACACCCTGTATTTCACATTTTTCAACATCTCTCATGAACCGTTTTTGAGTTGATCCTTTTTCTAGAAAAAGTGACAAATGCAGCCTATCGAACATATGATATTTTCATGTGAATTAAGATATTTAGTGATATACAATCACAACCACTCAATAATTTACAACAATTTGAATTTTTTTAAATGGAAACCTAATTTATCTTATGATTCAATTATTGTATAATAAAAATGCGCCCTAATTCTAATCAACTTTCCTATACTCAAAATTCATAATTTCGAAGATATTCCCTAAGTAGTACTTAATTCTTTATAATATCTGTCTGAAATATTGGATTTGTCTAGTTGGCGTAAAAATATCTATGGACAAATTAAATATTGGCGGATTTCAACGTGATCATCTGACGTTTCGATGACGTTTACAAATATACCATATTGACGGATGACCTTGAAACCCGCCAATTGAAGAAATTTCAAACTAATTTTTTATTCCAGCTCAAGTTGAATGCCCTTTGTGTAATATATCATGCGATCCAACCCGTATAATCGATAATCAGTTCCTTTTGGAACTCTCAAATGATGAACCAACAAAAAATACAGATATGAAATGCAGCAACTGCTCTGACGATGTTATGGCGACAAGTTACTGTACAGATTGTTCAGAATTCATTTGTGATAATTGCGTGCAAGCCCATCAAAGGTAAGTTCATCATAGTTCAGTTTGGTAATTGGAAATACACATACATTGCAATGGGGTATTTGCATTGTACCTTCTATTCATTAAGCTAGAAACTCATTCTAAAAACCCTTTACATTTCAATTGTGACACCCTTTTCTTGTCTGTCAATCTTGCATTGTTGCTTGTGGTCAAAATGTACATTTACTGTAAATAGTTTTAAGCAAGATTTGCATACTCAGTTCCAATCATAGCCTTTGAATTGATTTTTGTGTAACAGATTGTGGCATTTATCCAAAATCATTAAAATTCATTCAACCATAAGAATTATGTGAGAGTTTGTGGCTCTTTTTGAATCAGAAATGCATAGATGCATAGATTCAATGTTCTGTGTGGTATTAGAAGGTAGGTTCAATGTGAGTGGGGCGAATACCGCCCCTCCACTGCGACCCCAGATGGGTCTATTGTGGCTCACCCCTAGAGGTTACAGTTCACTGTACAATCCACATCTTTTTACAAAGTTCATGGTTGAATTAGCTGAGATTTGTCTGAAATCGCTAAGTTCTAAATTGGTAAAGCCAAATATATCGAACCTTAGTCTCTCTAAGAGCATGAACATAATATGTGTTCAGCCGTTTCGTCTTTCACACAGCAGAATCAACAGTCCGTTTGTTGGTTCAGACCCATCCTTCCCAGGTGGTATCTTAGACGACAGTGTCCCGTAAGCATTCCTGTCAGAATTCGCAGGTTACCCCTGCCCCATTCTAGGATCTGTCTGGTTATATTTTTCGATGGTTTAGACAGTAACGCCTTCGAATGGTTTAACCCTGATAATTCAGACCAGTACGTGAGTCTTTTTCCCTCCGCCCAGTCCGAGATTGTTGTTTTGGCCGCACTTGTGGTGATCCCAAAGTATGGTTCTGATCCTATGAACACAGATTCGGTTCCATGTTTGGCGAGGATGTCGGCTTTCTCGTTACCCTCCACCCCCTGGTGTCCAGGTACCCACAGAAAAGTGACTCTGTTGTTGGCACCCAGACAGTTCCATACAAGCTTGGAATTTATCTTGCTGGAGCTTCAAAAGCAGCCTGACTGTCTGATACAATGCTGATGTTTTTGGTTTACTAGAGATCTATTCGTCCACTCTCTAGCACACAATTCAATTGCGAAGACCTCCGCCTGAAAGATTGTAGCATACTTACCGAGACTGACAGAAATTTCTTTCTTCGGTTTTCTGTGGTATTAGAAAGGAAAGTACTTGGTTTTTTCCCGTCATCTAAAATTGCTGTTCATTTTATGAACGTTTGTGGAAATTACTTTGAGCTTTTTTGGAACTACTTAATGATACTAAGACAGACTGCAAAAATATTATAAATTCACCATTAATCTTTCCCTTAAGTTGAATCAATTGTGTGAATCATCGTCGTTTCAAATGAATACCTAGTAGACGAGGTATAATATTGTCTGTTTACTAACCCAAAATATGTCTGTAGTTAACTGAAAAATGTCGAGCTCATTAGTTCCAATTGTATATTTGTCAATGTGGACAATTCTAGTAGATTAAAGTTTTCAACTTGCATTTTTTTATAACTGTACCTATCCATAGATAGATGAGATTACTGTTTAGAATGGATCGACGACGCGCGACGTATGTAATTTGCTGAAGCTGCTCCAATGATGGCTAACATTATTTATTGTCCACCAAAACGCGCTTCCAAAACGTGAGGTCAGGGAACTGATAAATATACTTCTAATTTTCATGTCATTTTCCTTCTTCCTACGATATCTTCTTCTCCGTCAATGTAAGAATTGGTTGTAAAGTTACGCCTTGAGAGTAAATAAAAAGCGTTAGTCGGCTCAAGTCTTTCGATAACTTGAGGTTTTCTATTTGTTCAAATCAGGCCAAATTTTGATAATTTTGACTTTGACACGGACTTCACGTAGTAGTAGCGCCAACTGGTGAGAGTGAAAATGTTAGCTGTCATTGTTTGGAAATACTATCTACATAAATCATTATTTCATGTAAGAGGAAGAATCTCCACGATCAAGAACCAAATTGAGTCCTTCCTGCTTCTACAATTCTTTTCGCCTCTCGTAGCGCACGAAAGGGAATCCCTATAATGTTCGAAGAACATCGTGCGTACCTAGGGAGGAAAGGGATATGAGATGGTATTGCAACTTTTTTCCTTTTGGAGGTTATGAGTTCTTCCTCTGGCAAAGAATTCCAAAACTTTGCCGTCCTACAGAGTTTTGGTAAAATGTTCTTCAACATATTCCAAGGTTGACAACAAGATGATGTACTGACTGGGCTTGTCAAGTTCGTCTGACTAGTATTGCCAGTGATCGAATGATAGCAGAAATGTTTGAAGAACATTTCCCGTGGAAGAATCTATAGAGAAGTGATAGGTTGCCGACTTTTCCACGGTGTTCTAATGAGGTCAAAGGATTAGTGAGTGTGAAATCACCTTCCAGGCGAATTTCTCTTCTCTGGATAGAATATAAGAGCATCAGCATGGGTGCTGAACCCCATATGTGAGAACAGTATTATAAACAGGCTGTATCTTGTGCTTTGTAGATCATGAAAAGCTGTTGAGGTGTAAAGTAGATTTTTGCACGGAATAAAAATCCGAGTTTTTCTGAAGCAGCCTTCGCGATGGATCTGACATGATTATCCCATGAAAGAGTATTAGCTGATGGAAATACCGAGCATAGATATAGGGGACTTGGTGGGAATGGTGGTACCAGGCATTGTCATATCAGGCATACTGAGTTCCGCCTTTCTAGAGAAAATACAGGCTTGAGTTTTGGTGTCGTTGAATTCAACTAGGTTGTTGGTTCGCCAAGCTGTGATTTCAACAAGCTCTTCAGCACATTTTTTGGGAATTGTTCATCCACATGAGCATGTAGACGTATAATTATTAAGTGGACATTTTCTGGCACATGACAGCTATCATATAATTAGACAAAATTGAAATAATTTTGACAATATTTTTAATTTTTCAGAAACCTAGTAAGAAATCATATGAAATCAATTATTTTTATATATTAAACTATACATTTCATTTTACTAGGGTACAGGGAGAGTAAATATTCACTTAATTCCGGCATAAAATTATCATACCATATCCCCCACGTGCATTAATTAATTGCGGGAAATTTGTCTCCTACGTGAATTTTTAAAGAAAATTATTCCTCGTCGCTTCACGTGATAATTCTCAAGAAATTCATGTACTAAAAAAATTTGGGGCAATAATTCATTTTCTAGGGAGCTTATAAGTAAAAATCTACTTTACACCTCAACAGCTTCTCATGATCCACATAGCACAGATACGGCCAGTTTAAGAATACTGTTTTCACATATGGAGCTCAGCACCCAAACATACGCTGATGCTCTCAAATTTCATTTAGAGAAGAGCCATCCGACTGGTTGGTGGTTCCACACTGACTAATACTTTGACTTCATTAGAACACCGTTAAAAAGTCGACAACCTTTCACTTTTCTATAGATACTTCCACGGAACATGTTTCTCAGAAATCTCTATCATTCCATCACTAGCAATACCACTCAGACGGCCTCGACAACTCGACACTAAAATCCGTTCGTTCAAAGAACGGAAAAGCTTCGGAATTCTTTGCCAATGGAAGTAGTCTCAAGAATATATAACCTCCAAAAGTTCACAAAAATTCCAACATCTACCTCCTCTCCCTATTCTCCCTGGGTAGGTACGCACGATGTTCTTCAAATATCATCGGAATATCCATTCGTGCGCTGCAAGAGATGAAAAAACTTTACAGATAATTGAGTGTTTCTTTCCATCTGCTCAGGTGGCGTTCGTGTCCATCTCGCAGATGCCGAACTGCTCTTAAGTATTAAATGCTGAAATGTGTTTATGTCGGGTCAGGTTCGCACCAGATGGTGGTCATGAAGCCATTAGGGGACACCCCTGGAATGATGAGAGCCAAAGGCCAAAGCACAATTCAGCATTTAAAAAGGATACACTTGCGATCTTATTCGTCTATAGGAATCGTTGCATAGATTTTGGAAAGATGTAATTCATTGTTCTGCGTGACATATAGCCAGGAAAGTAGTTGTTTCCTCTCGTTATTTACCAGTTCCGTTCATTTATGAGTTTTTGTGAAAATGACGTTCAGCTCTGTATATTTATTCAACAGTTCATTCCTCTTTCAGCATATTGGTTTCCTAGTTGAATATCATACCTCGTCTATCAGGATTCAATCCAGAACTAAATTCGTTGAATAAATTCAATTAAGATTTTATCGTTATGTTGCAATATTCCACTAGGTATCTTCTTGATATTTGTTTTTCATAGGCTGAAAATAACAAAAGACCACACAATAAAACCGAAAGAAGATGGTTTGATAGAATTGAATTCCATGACAAATGGGGGCCCATCTAGTCTATTTTGTTCCAACCATCCACACGAAAAACTGTCTTTGTTTTGCGAGACTTGCGATCAGCTGACATGCCGTGATTGTCAATTGATTGAACACAGAGAACACAAGTACAAATTCACTAACGAAATCGCATCAGAAGCAAAAAAATTCATCTCGGAAATGCTCAAAGATGTAGGTTATAAAAGGGCCCTACTCACTAGCGCTATGAAAGTTATAGATGATAGACAAAATTTGATAGCAGACAAAAAGCAAGCTCTCGTTAAAGAAATCACTCAATTGGTGGTCAAGTAAGTACAGAATATTTATGGAGTTTTCGACATGCTTTACGTTATCATCATTATAATTTCTAGGTTAACTAATACTATCAATGTACGGGGTAAACAGCTAGTGGCAAAATTAACGGAAGTGTGTGACTCGAAACAAAAGACATTGCATGAGAAGAAATCGGCACTAGAACAACTATCAAAAATGACAGACCACTGCATTCTGTTCACTCAACACGCTTTGTCAAACGGTAGTGATATGGCGTTGTTGTACAGTAAAAAACAGGTGACCGAACACTTGAAAAGGATCAAGTGTAAAAGAGCTGATATCCCCAATCCGGAAATTCCAGTTAGGATACATTTGGCTCTGGACAAAGTTCCAGATTTGATCAAAGGTATGTGTATCTGTATAGTGTCTTTAGTGATTTATAAGTGTTTTAATTGCTTCTAACAAAGGGGTAAGGTTGTGTGTACTTTGTAATATTCAGAATATTAACAAAGGTTATTAGTCGATGCTATTTTACACATACTTTATTACGAGCAAATTGTCCAACGTTTTCTTCTACAAGCCATCATCAGGAGTGATTTCTGAAAGTGAGTAAATAATAGAAAATCTGAATCGAAGTTATTTTATTGTGAAGTAATACATTTTGTAACTTTTAATAAAGTTCTACTCGTCAATAATTTCACAGAAGAATTAAGCACAAAAAAGAAATTTTATGTACTCAATATTGGAAAATTCAAGTTTGCAAGAAACACTGAGTAATTTTTTTTTTAAATAAAGTAAATTAAATGGCTGACATGTTTTTTTACATTTTTGGCGAGAGGACTGGATAAGTGAGGTTAGAGGATGTACATGACATTTTGAAAAATGATCGACGTTGTCTTGATAATGGCTTGTAGCCGAAAACGTTTGAGAATTTGCTCCTAACAAAGTATGTTTTTGTTAATATTCTTAATTGCTTCTGTCCATGCTTTCGGAAGGTCTTTCTTCAGGTAAATAATATTTGCATATTAATTTGATATTGCAGAGAGCACTTGATATATGTATGTGAAATTATATAGTCATGAAAAGATTTTGGGATCACACGTTAAAAGGTAAGGCCCCCGTCATTCCTTGCTCGCACAAGTCTCTCGAAGACTTCTGAGGGTTGCTCGTAAGGGGCAACTGAATGATGGATAGAACAATTTAGAACAATTTAGTTTTAAATGGGTGACAGCAGGGTGGTCAAGTATATTCTTGGTTTAAAAATCTGTTGACTATATGTGACAGCGATTTACTGTGTAGCTCGTATGTTTGAGTTTAAGATCATTTAAAACGAAAATCAATAGCTGGAAAATGTAAAAAGAGATTTTTTATTAATTTTTCTAATGAAATAATGCAACTCTAGGGTATATAATGCTGGACTAATAAATGCTTTTTTGCGTTTTCTTTTTTGACAAAATGTTTTATAGTTGGAGTCTTCTTTAAACCTTTATATACCTGTACCCCAGTTTTCTTAAATATTTTATGTGAGCAATTTTGTGCCGAACAACTTATTTTGGTGGGATATATATATATATCCTGTTGAAAAAAAAACGCACTTTCAGATTCACCCTGTGTATAGGAAAATGACTTACGGATATTGGTGTATGGCACAATTTGTCTCTTCATTCATTTTAAATGAAAGAATCTACCGAAACTCAGGAAAAGACCAGATTCTCCAATCACGCGAGTGCGGACGCTGTGGCCACATTTGCCGTCGTCCTCTCAATTGCGAAGATATTCGCGTTCGAAGTTTCCATAAGCTCAATGAGTGTGACAGAGAATAAAAGTGCATGTTTGAAAAATTACACTACTGCGCATTTGCACGCCACAATTGTATGCAAAGTAGTTTATCGTGATACAAGTAACATCAAAGATAACAAAGCCAAAAAGCATACGCTAAAGAATTGTTCAAAAAGTTAAGCGTCTCCCTACAGGAGTGCAGCAAATTTTTTCCGCGGTATCTTTTTTTTTTCAAATTTCAACAAGAACCAATTTGCATGCATTTACAAATGATCAAGTGTAATTTTCATGTAGTCCAGACAGGGATGTCAGGTGGAAAATATACTCCTCTGCTACTAAACATGTCCGCGAAACGTAAACAAAAACAACAGAAAGACATGAATGAATGGAATGATAACACAAATACTACTTTGATTCAAAAGCTGGTAAACGTCATTGTCTACGATGAGCATGTCTGTCATGATTACTAAATTTGCGCATGCGCATCATACCACCAAATCCTTATGGATAATCATTCGTTTCATATTTTCAGCTTCAATCTGGCACCCGTTGTTTTCCATATTGTTAATAGAGCAGTTCAGCAAGCGTTGGGAGAGAAAACATGTCTTTCCAAATTTCCTTGTCTTCAGTGTCCCAACGTAAAATAATGGAAAGTTTATGTTGGTTACATTGGAAATGGGGAAAAATGGAGACGAAGATCATATTAACCTCGATATAAAAAAGGTTAGAATAGTCTTCTTCCCCATTCTTCCCATTTCCAGTGTTGCCAACATCAAATTCTCATTATTTTGTGTTGGAACACTGAAGGCAAGGACACATGGGGAATACATTTTTTTCTTTGTTTCTTTAACGTCGGCCTTTTTCTGCTACTGAGGCTAATCACCGATGTCGGTTAACGACTCCAACATTCATGGTCGCGGAACCGCTGACTGAACGTCCCCTCCGAAGGACGGCATATTCGTACCATATCTTGTGCTCATCGATATGGTAGCTGTAGCTATGATCTGCTATTTCGCTACAGATGTGCGGGCTTATGCGGCGTTTCCTCGAATGATCACCCATCCAAGTACTAACCGCGCTCGACATTTCGTCACCTCAGATATCGAACGTATTGAAGTCGTTTATTTTCTTTGCCAAGTTATATACAACACAAATTTCTAACACAACATTTCATATTTGTTCTGGTGCATCTTGAAGTGCCCCTAGAAGTCCCTCCGCGTAGCGCGGAGATGGCTGGTATTGGCCAAGGGATGTGAGAGGATTCGTGGAGTGATTGTGGCCAGCGTAGCCTCGAGAAATTTTTTTCTGATCAAAAGTCAGTCATATTGATATACTGGAACCTCATCTTGGGTCGTTTTCGTGATTTCTCCTTATACATTTTATTCTCCATCTCGTTTTACTTCTATAAAATTTTTATGTGATAGACTTCTTATGTAATATCGTAGTTGTGGTTGAATTTTGTCAGATAAGTTGTGAAACACTCAGTGTATTGAACAACAATACTCTGTGTCTCATACTTGGGCAATAAATATTGGAAATCAGTTGATAAGAATCATCGATATCAGGAAACAAGTTTGAATTGAAAATTTTTATCCTGTATTTCAATTAGAGGCGAATTTTCGAGTGAATAGTCTAGTATAATTAATGGATATCAAAAAGGCCGTTTCTGAATATACTGAATCGAATGGGCCATGGTTTTAGTCACCATTTTTTATATTTTTTTTACTCAAAAGGGGATTTTGTCCTATTTTCTTATCATTCTGTATATTCCACAATAGTGCTTTTTTCGTCTTTCATTGTCCTCCACAAAACATGAGAACAGTTCTTCCCAATAGTCAGCTCATGTGGAGTTCTAGAGAAAAAATTCAAGAAATGCAAGACTTTCGAAAAACAATCGAATTTTTGTTCCAATGGCCAATTAGGGAGAAATCACGAAAACGTCCCGAGATGAGGTCCCAGTGTATCATAATATGACTGACTTTTGATCAGAAAAAAATTCTAGCTCTCTTTGAAGCCGATGAAATATCACATCTGATATGGAAAACCGCATGAAGATCGGCCAATTTTTTCAAAAAATACAGGTCTTCGAAATAGAGTCGAATTATGAGTGGTCCATTTAGTGTGTTGAGAACTGTAGTTTGAGATATCGAACGGCTAGTGCCTTATCAGGGAATATAGGGCGATGCCTCATTTTTTTCTCTCTCAACGTTAGCTGAACTGCTCTATTAATACGTATATGCCCTACCCTCACATCCACTCTACTCGTTTCCCCAGTGATGTCGACCATCGGCCAGATAGTCGTCGACGGCCGCATCTACCCCTCGCAGCCGCCGTCCCCGGCGCCGCCCGCGCTTCCCCCTTTGCCGCCCCAGCAGACCTGCACGAGTCCCGGGCAGCCGGTGCGCCCTGCCCAGCAGCCGTCGCCGATGCGCATGAGCCCGCTGCACCAACTGCCCTCGCCGACGGGTTTCCAGTCGCCGAGGATGCCCGGCCCGCCCCCGCCGCCGGCGTACGGGCAGTACCAGGGTGGGGGCAGCGGTGGCGGTGGCGGGCAGTACCAGGGGCAAGGTATGCAAGGGCAGAGTATGCAGGGACAGGGACAGAGTATGCAGGGACAGGGACAGAGTATGCAGGGACAGGGGCAGAGTATGCAGGGACAGGGGATGCAGGGACAGAGTATGCAGGGACAGGGGATGCAGGGACAGGGGATGCAGGGGCAGAGTATGCAGGGGATGGGGCAGCAGGGGATGGGGCAGCAAGGGATGGGACAGCAAGGGATGGGGCAGCAGGGGATGGGACATCAGAATATGGGACAGAATATGGGTGAGTTATTCGTTCTCTTAGGCAAAATTTCTTTAATTGAATTCACCAATACCTATTAATGTATTTCTATCATCTACACACTATGGAAAGTAATACTGATTGATTGATTGTCTTTATTACCCCAAGGAACATAGTTGTTTATAATAGGGATACATAAACAATATATATAATGTTATACATACAATTATGAAATAATAATACGATATAACAATTAAAAAGCAAATAATCATGCAATATCAACCTTGTCTTTTATAAGTAGGTATTCAATTGAGAAAGGAATTATCAAAGCCTCTGAAGCAGATATTATTTCGAGTTAAGTTAAGTTATCTAGTTGCTTCCTGTATATTGATTGATTGATTGTCTTTATAACCCCAAGAAACATTTCTGTTTATGATAGGGATACATGAATACATATAAAAAATAATAATAAAGGGTTAACTAATGAATTCCACTCAGTGGAAACGAATTAATATTGTTTCCTAAGATTAAAGTTATATTTCGTTTCTGAAGTTTTTACAATGTTCTATTTTTTTCTGGTCCTGCAATCAGACTTTCTGATTAATATTTCTCATTGAGATAATGGATTAAAATTTGAGGCATACGGGCTTGAGTTTAGAATTGGTGTTTTTACCAAATGTAATTTACCAATTCCTTTGGATGAATAAAAATCATTTCCTATAAATTTGGTTGATTCTGTATTGGAATAATTTAACTGAGAATTGCTGAGTAGAAACAAACTATGACTGTGCTAGTTATAATGTATTCAACCATTGTCATTCATCATGCTATTTCAATATAATAGTAATCAGTATCCAACAAGTATATTACAAGGTGTGAAGGTTGGAGGACAATAATCAGATGAATATATTTAAAAAAAGTAGCATGAGATTTAATTTTAAATTGAAACTGGCTAGTTTATCAGTTCACAAATCATAAATATCTGCTTTTGGCTTCTGAATAACTTGGCTTGTAAACAATCAAACCTTACTCGGCCTTAATGAACCTCCTTCCTAGAAAGTATATATTTATTTGACCCGATGAAGAATTGAACATGAGCCGCAAGCGTGGCGGTCGTATGAATTTTTTTCTATGAAGAAATAAATGCAACTCGCTAATATCGCGTATTGTGCGTGTCGTCATGTATCACTGATTACGATGGCGACATTATAATTGCACCTTTCAGGTCTGAATCGGATGCAAGCGATGGGCCAAATGGGACCGCCTGCTATGAACAGTCTTCAACAAGCTCTGCCTCTCACTTTGACCCAGCAGCTGAATATGAACAGGATCCAAAGGCCGGTATTGCAGAGAGCTCTCATGCCGAGAATGGCGATGGGTATAAATCAACAGCAACAACAGGTTAGTAAAAAGCAATAACTGAATAATAATAAATGAATAAGGTACAAGAACTCGCTGTTGATGGAAACACTTGATCCGAATGAAACATGCTATTTTTTCTGCAACTGAAACACCAATGTGACTCACTTGACAGATTATTATAATACCTTTATTATATGAGCAAGTAGATAGAAGCATGGCTTCAGACTACTTTACTTTTTTCGAATTGTAGTTTCAATATAAATACAACTGCAAAGTGACCCATTTGTGTATTTTATTGAATCGATGAATTCATTTGGACCAGGTGTCAGCCCTAATAGCAAATAGCGCGCCAGTGCCAGGTATAGGAAAAATAAGTTGAAATGTTAGGTTAGTGAGCATATCAACATATCAACAATAATAATAGCGATCATTTATTTCTCTTCATATTCCACTGTGTTTGGCTAGGTAATCAAATGAAGATGTACAATATCGTTGTGTGAGACAAAAAATATTGCTGGACGTGGTTATTCAAAAATGAGTTATCCAATCATTCAGATCCCGAGAATAACTAATGAAATACAGTTCAAGCAAGTATGTGAATCTTGAAGGCTTTCCTGATCATAACAAAAATACTTAACTATAATATGGTGTATTCATATCTCCAGCATGGGTATGAAATGTTGAAATGCCAAATCTGCCGAAATCGGAAACAAATCAGGCATGCGTCCCAACCCAAATAACCAACCGTAACAATGTTGTTTATTCTTGATGACCTAGTACCTCTTTTATAGTTCCTAGGAGCTATAGTTCAACTTTAGCTCCTAGAAACTAAAAGGGTTGCCTAGCAACATACCTATGTTTGTGTCACTAATATAAAAGTCAATTCAAGACCTAATTTTGGTATAAAAATGGACGACTTTTGTGTCGGTTACAGAAAAAGACTTTTAGAAGTGTGATGATGATGATCCCCAGAATATTGAACCTTACTGTAGGACTGATTGTACCAAACCAAAATACAACAATCTCGGAATATCAAAAGAAACTGTTTCTCTCAAATTATAGACTGGCCGTTAATAACAGATTCTGTGCAACGTTTTTTTAATGTAGGCATTTTTCAAGTCATTATTTTCATGGGTTTTCAACATGTCCTAGACAGTTATCTAATAGATTGGCCGTTAATATTGAAAATTGATGATTTTGAACGATTAGTGAATGTATGACAGTTGGTCCTTGTTGAAATTAAAAAAATATATACCGCGGAAAAAATTGCATCCGCCGCCCTCTTGTAGGAAATTCGGAAGTCCCGAAATTATTAACTGTGCATGTGATGAAGAGGGATGTATCATTATTTTTGGACAATTATTTAACGTATGCTTTTCTGCAGACTCATTTTTGGTGACACTTGTATCATTGTGATTACAAAAGAAAGTGCATGTTTGAAAAATTAACACAGCGCATGTGCACGCCATGATTGTATGCAAAGTAATTTATCGTGATATAAGTAACACCAAAAATAATTCTGCGAAAAAGCAATAATTGTTGAAATATCCCAGGTAACACGGAACTCTCTGCGATATCTCTAAATAATTATCTTCAGGATCAAAATGCGAAATCCTCCTGCGAGGTGCCAAAGATCACTATAGGCTGTCACCATGGTAAATACTTTCTGGAGTCGTTCCGAAGAAATAGCGGAGATCTCGCCTCAGATTTGAAATATTCCTCATTATTGCGAATCCGTGAGGTAATCTATAACAGGAAATGAATAGGCATTTCTTTCTGCGAGCACTCAAGGATATCCTGGACGTAACAAGAACGAGCATTTCCCATTGCGAGCTCCTAAAGTAATCACAAACATAACCTGAATAATTAATGAATATTACTACAAAAATATTGAGTTGTTTTTTTTATTCTCCTTTATAATTAATTATCAGTCGAAATAAATATTCATTCGACCCTCAAATACCGGATGTCCCAAGTTATCGTATACAGGCAATATCTCGCCTATTTGTCAAGATGTTAAAAATATAAAAAACTGTATTGAATGGTATTAAATAACGTTCCGAAAAACTTATGAAGGATGTGATGTATTTGGCAGCCCCCTGATGGTAAATACTTATAAGTTTTTATTTTCAAATGACATATTGTCTCTGAAAATTGCGTGGCATTCTATTTGGAATACAATGATATAGCCTCGAATACAGGACATACTTGGTGTTTTGTTCATTAATATATACCTCCCTCTTCATCACATGTTCAGTTAATAATTATTTCGGAACTTCCTACACGAGGACGGAGTGTGTAATTTTTTTTTGCGTTATAATTTTTTTCAAATTTCAAGAAAAAATAATTTGCATGCATTTACTAATTTTTCGAAATCATCGTCAATGCAAATTCAAATTCGATTGGTGACGCCGCTGCATACGATCACAATTAGATAATTTTTTTATCTCGTGGTGCGCACGAAAGGAAATTCAGTTCGCCTGACATGTTGAAAACTATGAAAACCCATGAAAATCATGACTTGAAAGATGCATACATTCAAAAAAATCTTGCACAAAATCTGTAATTACCGGTAAGTCTATAAGAGCATGAACTTGACTTGTACGTCACTAGGTATCCTCATCCACTCACCCGCAAGGCATGTTGCACGATCGCAGCAACCTGCGACACCTGCTGCAGCCCAACAACGGCAACGCGAGCAACACCAACAACAACCACGTGTACATCCAAACGGGCCCCGGCCAGTACCAGGCGATCCAGCCCCATCTGGCGCAGCACCTGCAGACCAGGTTTCCCGGCCAGCAGCAGATCAGGTTCACGCAGCAGAATAACCAGGTGAATTATCGTTTTTCCACCACTAGCTATGAAACCTACCATTATTTACTCCGTATCAAGGCGTGTGTTTTTGTAATAAATCTGGTAATAAATGTGTTTGTCGTATTTTGTATCGTATTTGGATTGGATGAAGGGATCCAATCCATCCAGTTTATTTTTTATATAGTAGAATTTTTAGGCTGCTGTCCAAAATGTCCTAGCTTCATGCTAGAACACTATTCTCCATACCCATGATATACCACAAGGCACTAGTTTATCAATAGACACCATTTCCTCCAGGAAAAGTAGATCCGGCCAAGGCTTAACACGCCTGGTCTTTGGTCGACTAGTAATTAGGGGGTGGTTGACATACTCGAGTTCAATAAAAAGACTTGATTTCAATTTTAAGTATCATCTATTGCAAGAAGAAAATAAATAAAACAACAAAAAATGTTCATTGAGCGAAACACTCACAATGAATTATTCAAGTTCTTAACCTTCTGAATTAAACCTAATAACAAAATACGAGAATTACCGACCCAAGGTAATTCTCCTTATTCAAATTATGGGAACCCGAAATTCTGGCATTTGTTAACACTTTACTATGCATTTCGCTTAAAACCCTGATTGTGAATTTATCCCTAATTCCGTGAATGAAACCTGTTTTATTTCACAGCCCTGATAACTATTAACTCCTATCTAATTCCGTTGATAAACCTCAGAAAATGTAACAAAAACTAACTCTCTATCGGATGAATGGTATGATAAATGGCACGTGATGCACTTCACAAATTATGCTCGATCGCGACTTTGAGATTGATTAAATATGTTTGGCTTTGAGAGGCACAGTGGACTCGCGTTTTGTGTCTATGAGGTCTTAATTGAGAGTGTTTCAAAATTGAGTGTGTCCGATCTTCGGGCGATTCCGTGGACGATATCTGAAGATACGAAGCTTTGTCACGTACTCAAGGAGGGTAATTTGAATTTGAAAAATTGCATTATAATGTCTTGGTTCAATTAATGTTCAGACTATCAATATGCTTAAATATAAAACATGAAAATGAAGAACACATAAAGTCGACATGGACGTGACATACCGCCGACCTAGAAAAAAAAATTTTTTTTTACTTGAAAATCAACTATTGAAAGAGGTGATAGCTTGACTACCGGCCTCTTCATCTTGTAACACCATCTCTGCCAGGACGTGACAGGGTGAATGAAAATATCACCCCACACCTAACTAACCTTTGCCTGTGCTTGAAATTCAAATGATGCATTACAAAATACATTTGATATTTTTGGAAATACAAATGATTGTTTTGGAATTTGAAGTGTTAGTTTTCCAAATTAATTTGATAAATCTGAAACACATATGATACTTTTTAAGATTAAAATGACTAATTTGAAATACAATTGACGCATTGTAAAATTGAATTGATAATTTTGAAATACATTTGATACTTTTTGAAATTAAATTGACTAATTTGAAATACACATGATGATTTTCAAAATCCAAAAGAACTGGAAAAGGTGTAGTTCATAAAGAAATAGCCACCTCTGTTTTAATTAACCGGAATTCACTGTTCTGATAAGAAATTCACAGGAATGGCACTCGAATCTAATAGGTATTTATCAATATGTCATATGCTGCCATGGTCATGGCTACCAGATTTTAACTGAAATTGAGAAGAAGAGCTTTCAAAGTGATGATAGTGTCCCATATTTCAATATCACAGAACCATAATGATCGAAATTTGTAATATATTGATAGTGGTGAAAAATATGTAACATACCGCTTGTTGGTGAAGAATATTTTATACCACGGGATATTCTTCACTACCTTGCTCGAATAGAATACCCTATTTTATATACAGTGGTCGTAGGTAAAACCATATGCCAGCATTCCTAAACTCCAAATACGGATAAATGATTGAAATGGCGAAGGGTGGAGATTACTCTGCAGAATCATTCCCAGAGGATTCATAGATTCAATAGATATATTCAATTTATATGATAAATCGTGATTTTTATGAACATATGTATGTGCGATAATTAATTTTACATTTTAAGATATTGTTAAATAATAATTGTACTATACTATATATTTTAAATGCGCTTTTCATTAACAAAAACTAGCCGTCAAACCAGAACAACTTTTGTGGCTGACATGTGGATGGGAAGTATAGTTCCTTCAAACCCAGATTTTCTATGAAAAAATAATTAGATAACACTCCCAGTTTAACCGGAAATAGAACTAGGCCGAGAATTTTCAATAGAACCCCGTATATATTTTTTTTTTATCGCTTGGAGCACACGAAAGGGAATCCCTATAATGTTCAAAGAACATCGTGCGTTCCTAGGGAGGATAGGGACAGGAGGTAGGTATTGGAATTTTTTTTGAACTTTTGGAGATTATATGTTGTTGGGAATACTTCCACAGGCAATGAATTCCAGAGCCTAGCCGTTCTATGGATGAAGGAGTCTATTCGATAAAGTAAAAAATTCTCTTCCAAATGACATGTCAAACTATAAAACAGGAGTATTGGCAACATTGGTAATGTGAATTATAGTCAATTGAATTACCTAGATGGGCATTTTAGGAATTTCCTTTCGTGCCCTCTAAAAGATAACAAAAAGGTGGTACTTGAGATATTATAAAAATTATTTCATAGTACATAAATCAAAAAGGTTGAGTATGGATGATTTAGGAGCATCACATTTAATCATCATCTATTTTGATATTTCTCCTAATACCAACTAATTAGAGCTCATACTGCATGAAGTAAGGTGTACCAAGTAGAATGTTGTTTTGATATAGGAATTTTCATTCTGTACACCTTCTATCATCCTGGTCATTGTCTTGAGATAGCAATTATTAAATTTCAGTCGAGAATGCTGATGCCAGCCCAGCAGACTAGAATGCCAGTGCACACTCAGAGGCTCCTGCAGTACCCACCAAGTGGTGGGGTAGCAAAATGGCATATTCCTCAGCAAAATACCGCACATGAAGGTTGGTATTGAAAGTTTTGATAGCTCCTGATATTTGGTTAGATTATTTCTGGAACAAAAGCTCTTTTAAGTATCACTGTCATGGATGGAGTAATAATTATCAATTTAGTTAGTACTCACTGTCACTGTAATCGCTTTCCACACTATATTCATCCCTATTGAAGTGTACTTTCGGCCTCTTTTCGGATATAAAGGAGACTCCATGACTGATTTCAATGTGCTTATTATGAACTTCAAAACATAACCTCTAAATTCACTTAGCTTAGATGAAAGTTGCAAGTCACAAATTGACTTTAAACACCGAGAAATTGAGTTTCATGTTTGCCTCTAACAATAAAATCGATTCAACTGAACCTCTTATCTTTGGAACCAACCAAATCAGATATGCCACAGACACATAAAATTAAATTAAATGAAATTGAATTTTATTATATTGTGACTATACCTGTTGGAGGTACTCACTGTATTTTATGTGTCTCTGCATGTACTTATACAACTATTTTTAATTTTATATCTAATTAGGGTGTCAAATGTTATAATTGATTTTCATGTGCATTTACATTGACTGTAAAGTGCAAATAGTATGTAAGAAGCGCTTTCTTTGTCAATAAGAATTAGTTTTCTTCAGAAAATAAAGTATATTTAGATTTGATTTGAAATAAAATATTTAGGTATATACATTGACTCAATACTGTCATGGAGTAAATACATAAATCGTTTGACCAAAAAGATTAATGTCCCAATTGGCATCTTGAAGCGTATGTCTTGGTATGTTTCAATATTTAAAAATGATTTGGTTTCCAGCCTGTAATAAATTGGTGAAACAAGTAAAGACACTACAAAATAAAGCCATACAAATGTATAGTCAGTGCCTTTTATATATAGTACTGTTAATCTTTATAAAAACTACAATATTCTAAGTTAAGATACATATTTATGTATGAACTCCAAATATCCAATCACATTCATCAAACTATTAACAAACAAAAATTCTCAAATCTGTCGTTTACGGCATGTAATAGTTTATACTCATACAATACCCCTAATAGCAAGAAGTTATTCTTACCCAACGCATCTATGGAAGCCTGTTGAATTAAAAGAATTTGACAGCAAATTACTTGCTGAAGAATTGAAAAAATGCCTTATGAGTAAGTAAACTTACAGCTTGGGTAAGCTTTGAATTGATTTTTTTACATTTGTAATCTATTTAAAATTCAAAAAAATATTAAGTAGTGACAAATTCTGTGATAGCATAATCCTATTTTTAATACTACTCTGTAACCAACGTAACTAAATAATAATAATAATAATAATATAAGTTTATTCAAAAGACAAAATGTAGTATATATGTATATTTAATATTTTTCTCTTTTTTTACATGACATGTTTTTCAGAGTAAGAACCTCTATGAGTATGTAATTTTCCGTGGTTCAATAAAGACATCTAAGAACGGCTGTCGGCCATATCTCAGCAACGAATAATGGAACAAGTTTGAGATATACGGGTGGCCCACGAGGTTTTGGCCAGTCGATATCTCGGAAACTATTTGAACTATAATTTTGAAATTTGGTGGTTTTAAACAGTGGAATGTGGTGTTCATTTTTGATATAAGAGGGTTTTATTGCAACATCGCATTTCCGATCACGTGACATCAACTTCAAAATTTCAAATGGAACACCTTGCATATTATTGCATTTTCGTGAAGTCCTTTCTAATACAAATTCTACGATACCATAATTGTCAGCGGTTTTTCGGCACTTACAGTTTTTATGAACATTTCTGTATTTTTATTCAAAAAACGTGATAGCTTAGGAAGAGAAAAAGTATCCTAGCAACAGAAATACATCGCACTTGTCAAGGGCTGTCAATCAGTATCAGTAGATTGGCTTTGTGTACAAGTAGAATCAAGACTAGTATGCCTTTACAATTTACTTACGACGAGTATGTCAATATGCTGCTCATATACGGCGAGTGTCGAAAAAATAGTAGGCGTGCTCGAGACTTGTACAGAGAACGTTTTCCCGACCGAACAACTCCAAGTAAGAATACTTTCGCTTATGTGGAACAGAAATTAAGAAATGGTACTTTTCCTAGTGGAAAACAGCAAATTCCACGCAGAAAGCCTATTCAAACAGAGGATAACGTAAATAATATTCTGGCTTATGTTCAAGTACCAGTGACGGCTCGTGCCCTCAGAACCTGGGTCGGCCAGGGTATAGATATTGCTCTAAAATGCGAAAGTAACACGTTGGGTCAGCGACTTGAGTGAAGTTCGATGGCAAATAAGCATGTACAGGGTGATTCACCATAATTGTCCCCCCCTCTAACTCACTTTATTTTTGACCCAATTTAAAAATTTGAATGATGATCTAAAATGATTTCTCAGAATTTTTTTCCCGTTTCATCAGGAAATACAGGGTGCTCGGAACAAATGATCTACAGAGTACTACTCGATTTTTCCAAATGGAACACCCTGTATTTCATTGTATTCTTAGATCCTTCCTGAAGAGCTGATTTCATCAATGCATCACACTTGGGGTCTAGCGGGAATGATAACAGAGATATAGGGTGTTCAAAATCGAGATTTTTCAAGTTTAGCATTTTTTTGTCTCGAAACTATTCATTATTGGTCGAAACGGCTCCTATGTTTCCATCTTAATTTTTGATTAATTGTCTATTGAGATTTGATTGGAACATTTACAGGGTGGTTCAAGATTCAGAATTCTGATCACCCTGTATCTGTTTCAATTATTAAATGTCAGTAGATAGTGAATAAAAAGTTGAGATATGGACATGAAAGCCGTTTTGACCAATGATGAATAGTTTCGTCTCAAAAAAATCCTAAAGTTTAAAAATCTCGATTTTGATTTTTTGAACACCCTATATCACTGTAATCATTCCCGATAGACCCCAAGTGTGATACATTGAGCAAATCAGCTTTTCAGGGAGAATCTAAAAATACAATGAAAAATAGGGTGTTCCATATAAAAAATCAAATGGTACCCTGTAGATCGTTTGTTCTGAGCACCCTGTATTTTCTGATAAAGCGGAAAAAAACTCAATCAAAAATCATTCAATAAGATGATATTTCAAATTTTGAAATCGGTTTAAAAATAACTGAGCTAGAGGGGGGGGACATTTATGGTGAATCACCCTGTACACATAACCAAAAAATTAAATTGTCCAGCAAGAACCACGAGGTTAGAGCATTCTCGCCAAGGGAAATGGGGAAAGGAAAAGGAGGTGGATAAGGGTTATAGTTGGGATGAAAAAATAATAACAAGAAAGTCGAAAAAATAAAATGAAAGAAAATAAAAATAAAATAACTCGTGAACAAAAAATATTTATATTCTGTTGAAAACGAAACGTAAACTCAAAAAAATCAACATAACCGACAACAACTCAGCTAACGCGAGAAGCACAAAAATGACTAAATCGGTCTACGCTGAACGCTCTACGCCGTTCCTGTAACCACAGTGGGCACAGTGTAACAAGCCACCCCACTCCTTCGTAGTCGGCTGGCCGAGCCCGCCGTGCAGCCGTAGGTATAATCAGGAGTGTATAATCTCTGGTCGTTAATTTCCCGCGATGGATGCATAAATATTATTTATAACCGCTACATGCGTCTTTGAAAATAAATGATATTCTGGAAGTTATACATTTATTACATTTTCGTCAGCAGAGCTTTTTTACGATGTTTCAATACCTACTCAGCTCTTGGACTGCTGAAATTTTTCTTGTCATATTACCTACATAGGCAGAGGCACAGTAGGTTACATTACAATATTCAAATTGAATTATAACTTATTGACGCTCAGAGGCACTGAAGGAAAATTCTGATACCAATATTAGATGGATATGTTGAATTATGAATCACTGAAAAATTGCAAATTCAAAAATCACCAGTCATTTTTACTGCAACCACTGCAAGCGTGAACAAAAACATCGAATTTTTTTTTTTTTTTTAGTTTGTACATTTCAAATTTCAACATCAACTTACAAATAAGTATTGGAATAAAAATTATAAATACCTACAATGTAAATGAAAATAGAATGTCAATCATGCCAATCCGTATATTGTATATTAAAAATTAGGTCGGAATGGTCGGATACGGTACACAGCGAGCGCACTGCAAACTACTGATAACGTACGTACGGACGGCCAGCAGAGCTTGGCCGCACCCAGGGTATGACGCGTATCGTTCGCTTATACGCGAGAATTTAAACTTGAAGCGGGGAATCTGTAGGCGATGCGTCGAGATTGGTCGAGACAAGAAACCACCGATCGGCCGGCCGTCTGCATCAGTGTAATGAGCTACGCGAGCGTTTCAACTTGAAGCGGCGTTTTGACGATGGGATTACCAGATGTCGTAGGTCCTGAATTAGTTCGTGATTTTCGGAGTATATGCGGATGGCATACTCAAAGGTTCCAGTGAATGAAATTGAAATAATAGTGGCATAATAGTAGGATAATGAACGATGAATTATGAAAACAGTTTCGGAAAATAATTGTATTCATCAAATAGTTCATTAATTTTCCCCAAATTATTTGGTACGGCCCGGCCGACCCTGCCGTCCCTGACGAGCCGTCACTGTCAAGTACACCCACATATCTCAACTAGATGTCTTGAGCAAGAATGTGGAGTATGTAGAACTACAATCCAGAGAGTATTGAAGAATCATAATTATCATCCTTACAAAATACATTTAACACAAGGTTTGAACCCTGCATACCCTGGAAGAAGACTAATTTTCATAGCTGAAATGACAGTGAAACTCGCATATGACCCACTATTTTTAAATAAAATATTGTGGACTGATGAAAGTCGATTTCACGATTGTCACTACTGGTCGGCTGAAAATCCGAAATGGATGCGAGAAACTAATTTCCAGACAATGTCTGGTGCGGTTTATTCAACGGCCGCTTGATTGGGTCGTATTTGTATCAAGGAACTTTGACCGGCGAAAGGTATTTAGATATTCTCCAGAATATGCTTCCCGCTTTACTTGAAGATATTCCCTTGAACGAAAGAGAGACGATGTGGTGGCAGCCGGATGGTGCACCTCCTCACTATGCCCAGCAAGTTACGACATATTATCTTAATAATACTTTCCGTGAAAAATGGATTGGGCGAAATGGTACAATAAATTCTCCGGCTCGTTCCCCAGATATGACACCTTTAGACTTTTTCCTCTGGGGATATTTGAAAGGTTTGGTTTATTCTACACAGCCTACAAATTTAGATGATTTGCAAAACAAAATCAGAGCAGCGTGCCAAACTGTTACACCTGAAATGATTAGAGCAGCATGCACTAGAAATCTTTTAACAAGATTTGAGCATTGCGTTACTGAAGATGGACATCAATTTGAGCATCAACTGTAATGCTTTTTCTACTTATTTTGTTTCGTTTCCTAATTATACTGTTGTTCTTTAATAAATTTTCCATTTATTTGACAGCTCATATTGTCACCGTTTCACATGAAAACCCTGACAATGATGGTATCGTAGTATTTGCATTAGAAAGGTCTTCACAAAAATGCAATAATATACAGGGTGTTCCATTTGAAATTTTGAAGTTGATATCACGTGATTGGAAATGCGATGTTGCAATAAAACTCTCTTATGCCAAAAATGGTCACCGCATTCCATTGTTCAAAACCACAAAAATTCAAAATTGTAGTTCAAATAGTTTTCGAGATATCGACTGGCCAAAACCTTGTGGGCCACCCTGTATAAAATACGATGTAATAGGGAATAGGGAAACTAAATCTCAACAGATCAACGAAAACCGCAACATGATAGCTTTTCGCCAACGGAAGATATTAACTATCAAAGTTGGAAGAATGATAGATATGACAGCCGTTCTTAGTTGTTCACCCTGTACAATCTACAGCCCGGCGGACAGATATGGAGAATTGGATACTCGAAAGCATACGGCCATACGCGTATCTTGGGTCGCGTAATAATTGATACTTGAAATTAAAATAGATCAAAGAGTATCTTCCAAATAGCAGCAATGTTCGATTATAATCCATCGTCATTATATATTTACTAATCATTTAAAATGTTCTTAGCCACCTGATTTGGCAGAATCATAGGTATGCTGACTTGTTGCCTTTCATAATCGTAATTTATATGTGTATTGAAGATTTAATGGATTTTTTGTTTGTTATTAATTTACCGTGTTTCTACATTCCTGGTGCAAAAATTATGGCTACAATATTATAGTGCCTTGGTAAAAAATTGTACTCAAATATATGCCTCGATTTGAACCACTTTTTCAGGATATTTTTAGACAATATGACCAAGCAAAAAATCTTTAGATTATACTAACTTTCTTTTCTATTCATTGAACAATGTCTGAGATTAATAATTCAAAGGTATTCTCTCTGCTCCATTTTTAAGGTGCTGTAGCTTCCTAATAGAACAGGATCCGACCGCAAGATTACTACGTTACTCTGAAAGGTTTCGAACAATGAATCTTGAACAGAAAATACGCATTTTTTGAACACTGCATTCCGATTGAAAATCGGTTGATTTGCAAAAAATTTATCGTATATTTAAAAACGTCAGAAATTTGAGTGTTCCACTTAATTCTTCGAGAACTCTAGTTCAAATTGAAGGTTATAATGCGATTTGATCCCATTGGAGAAAGTTTGAATTATGTCACGAATTAAATCACTGACTTGATTGACATGAATTGATTCGTGCCAACCGTGGTCCTAATAGTTATGACTCACCCTGTATAATTCCGTCCACCCTCACCCACCCCCCTCCTCGCCAGTCCTCGTTGCCTTGGCGGCAACCCCAAACACGGCGCTGGCAACCGCAACATGACGCTGCCCACCATCAACGACAACTTCAAGATAACCTATTTGTTTGAATTTCAACATACAACTCCAACTCACATTTACCCTTCAACTCCAATTAAAAAGTTGAACCTCTTGTTAGACATGGTTAATTTTATGCAGAGAATTTAAAACTTGAACTTGAACTATCAAATTGGCCAACTTTCTTGTAAATTTTCAAGACTACTGCGCAACTCTTGACGTGGAATTTTATAACTTCCAAATTATCATTGATGTTTTTTGGATTTTTCGATACCTACCTGCTTTGTGCCAAAATTATTTCCAATTGTGAAGTATTTATATTATAATGGCAAAGAGGATGGCCAACTGATTGATCTCATTTGCCAATGCCCATCAAACAAACTTGACACGACAGAAATTGGTGTGACATCAGGCGCAAATACCTACTAGATCAAAGAAGCAGGCAGTTTATCAGCGATAAAAAGGTGCATCCTTTTCAATCGATGTCAAAATGACTCATGTCGTCGTCAAATAGCGTTTTCCGTGTAGGAGTTGATTTATCCATATACGTATTAATAAACAATACGGATAATCTCTATCTGTTTCCATAGCGAAACATGAAGCCGATTTTTGAAGACAAATGACTATCCATAAGGAAAAGTGAGATACGATCAGACACATACTGCTTTGATTGAAAGGCTAGTAAACGTCATTGTCCACCGAAACGCATGTCTTTGATGACTACTATAATAGCGCATGGCGCATGCGTATCATGCCACCAAATCCTTATGGATATTCATTTGTTTCATATTTTTGGCTTCATCCTGGCACCCGTTATGATCCGTATTGTTTATTAATACGTATATGGATTTATCATTATTATTTTTTCCAAATGAGGCCAACCTTCTGGAAGACAGTGTATAATCCCATTCTTCCTACTCACTACTATTGTAGTATTTTTACCTCTATATTTCAGAGTTTTGTGAACTAGTTTAGTCTGTACCGGATGATAAATTCATACTTATAGTTATAGTTATACTTATACTTATACTAATATACTTATATTTTGATTTTCCACCTTTTACTGCATTCACTTTCCACTGATAAATTTTGGATTTGGTCAGTATTTAAAACGCCATTCGATGATATTATATCCTTCGACAACTGTCATCATCGGTTCGACAGGAGGCATTATATTGGGTGTTGCAGTGGTATTAATTGCGTAAATGAGTGTTGATTACAAGGAATCGACTTTTTCGATTGATTTTCGATTACGCGATGAAAAACCTTGTTATAAATAGGTTTCTTGACTCCATGTCAGCTCAGGAATATCTTACAACCATTATAGCATCGTTATTGTATGAATTGCTCAGAAGAATCCAGAAGGGCCTCCTTGCGCCCCCTTGGATTGCCTTATCTGAAAAATCACGAAATCAATTCGTGATACTGAGCCGAGCAATCGATCCAAATGAAGGGTTTGTGTTTAGCATAGCATATGGTTATGGCAGCACCAAACTGAAGCAAATTCTGAACATTTCTAAAAAAAATTAATTATTCTTCTGTTAAAGCTGTCGATGATTTCAACGCAATATGAATCCATTTTCTAGGATGTGTTCCATCGTATAGAGTGGCAAAATACGTTGAATGTGGCTTGCATAATTTTAAAATCAGAAATGATGTGATGAAAACCTAAAAATGAAAAATTATCGATTTTCAACATCCTGTATGAGGAATATGGAAAATTACAAAACCGTTTCGAGATATTGGCTGAACGTTCGGAAAAAACGCTTAATAGAAAAATGAAAAAAAATTCCATGGAATACGGAAGCGTTTGAATTTTTTCATTTGTGTAATACTTTTTTCGAACACTTGGTGTATAATGACAGAAACACTCCAGAGTTTTGAACAAGGAATCTTGAATAGAAAGATTGCATCTTCCAAGCACTGCATTCCGATTGAAAATCCATTCATTTTCTAAAAAGATATGACGGTTTGAAAATTGTTGAATATTTCAGTGGTCCACTTGTTTCTTTGAGCACTTTAGATGAAGATAAGGTGATTTCAAAGAAGTATAATAAAAATAAATTTCGATTCTCGTCAGTCCTGGCTGCTAACACCAACCCCAACAACGGCGCCGGCAACCGCAACATGACGCTGCCCACCATCAACGACAACTTCAAGATCACGCTGCGCCAGCAAACGCCCACCGACCCTAACAAGAACCTGCCGGCCGCCGTCACCTCCACCATACCGAAGACGCCGAGCCCCAATCACTGCCAGGGCAAGTCGGACACGGAGCGCAGCCTGGACAAGTTCTGCGAGGAGTCGGTCAAGGATCTCATGGCGACTATCGCCAAGCTGGATTCCAATGGGGTTCAGGTAATTACAACAATGGGCTTATATCACAAAAAAATTTTATTTCATAATTCGATAGAACTCACCCAAACTAGCTCACCACCGCAAACCGTTTCTTGCTGTGAGCTCCCTACGTTTTATAAAAAATTATTGAAATCCCCGATTTTTCGGACCTCTGAAAACGAGGCGATGATGTGACGTCAAAACCCTAATACTGAAACAAGACTATTCCAGACAGAGATGAATGATACATATATGATTTCTCACAAAGCACCAAGATTGGTGAATCGGCAAGTTGATTTTTGGGACATAGATGATAAGAACAAGAAGAAGATCAATTCTAACCTATATTAAGTTTCTGCAACTTTCGAATATTAAATTGAAATATTTCGACAAAAGTATGATTGAGAAATGTTCTGTGCCTAATTGCAATTAAAAAAACATCATTTAGCTGGGAATTTTGAGAACAAATCTCGCCCCTCACTGGGTAAACACAATATTATAGTAGTAGTTTTGCTTTGCAGAAATTCATATGGAAATTGCTTGAAGAATGAATGATCCATCTCCTAGAAGAACATTCAGGGGGAGATGCAAGCAGTATCTAGTCTTGGGAATAACATTGTTTCATACCAATCAATCATATTGTTGCATATTGATCAGTGACTGATTTAATGAGGATTCTCCCTCGGAATCTCCATATGATGGGTATTCTGATGTTAAATATCCTTTCAGGTGAACAATTTTCCAATGCAACTATAATAGGTACAAGCAATGAAAATTGAATGAATATTGTGGAACTTACCTTTCAGATTTTCTATTCCTCATTTCAGCACTGAGGAACTGTGGAGATTTTCTAGTATGTTAGAGACATAAAAATAATTAACCATTTCCAAATCAATTTTCGGAAGATTATTTGATGAGCCTTTTACAAATCCTGATTCAACGTTCATGTTTATAATCAATATATCAATAATATGTACTATGATATAAAGCAAGATTTGGAGGTTAATTTCATTACGTGTCTTCTCTTCTCATTTTAGACGACATAAATAACTTCGGAATCGGAATTCGCGACTTGATGCACGTGAAACGGGTCAACAAAGCAATGTTGCTGCGTTCATGAAATATATTGGATTATTGTGAAATTGTCATGGTGCAAATGGTTTTGAGATTGAGACATTTCGTTGTTTAGAGATTGTTTATATTCTAATGATTCAACCTACCATCGACAAGTTGAATATATTTTTCTGCAGTAGTGGTAGTTGATATCAAAAGATATTTCAATATCGATTTCGATCTCTCGGATATTTTGTTTAGATGATATGGCAACAGTGATAAGTGTCACACATGGGTCACTCCAAGGTGGATAGAACTATCCACCTTTGGTCACTCTATGGGTCACGCTCATTGGTTCCAGGCGAGATGAGGTTTCTACGTCATAAAGAGGGTCCGTTTTCAGCAGGTACTATTATTTATGTCCAAAAATAAAACATTCCAGTTAATTTTTAGATGGAATTATGTCGTCAATCGTTATTTATGTATAAAAGGATCATTATAAACATGGTTTGAGTTGAAAGTTCTACTAAGGTGTACGTACACGCCCATTATACACCCGACACAGATACCCTATACAATGGGGAAGTTTCCTATATTGGGGTTTTTATCTCACTGTGAAATTTGTAAAAACTTAATATACACCGTGTCCCAGCTAAAAATATGTCCCCCCCCCCCAGTTAAAAATCAACCGCGCGATCGAATAACCCCGCACTAAACTATAGGGAAAATGGCTCTCGATGAAAATCGATGAATTTTTGGTATGATGCAGACTTTGATATACTGAACAGATATGCCATTGAACTAACCTCAAAAAATGGACAGTTTTTTCGATATTGACCAAATGTCATTTCTTCGATAAAAAAAAAGTATCTGAAAATGGTTGAATTTGTAGATAGGAATGAGATGATGAAAAAATTCAAATGACAACCCCAAAAAATTGACAGTTTTCTCGATATTGACCTCCAAATGTAATTTTTTCAAGAAAAAAAATCTCTGAAAATGGCTGAATTTCTGGTATATATTGTAGATAGGAACGAACTGATGACAAAATTCAATTCACCTAACCTCAAAAAATTGTCAGTTTTTCGATATTGACCTCCAAATGTACTTATGGAAAATAAGATGAATGGAACAATAATCAACAGACAAAGTTGCTGTTTTCGAATTAGTATTTGGCATTCCATTCTTCTAAAAACAAATCTTCTTTATATGATACATCCACAGGTGAAGAAATAAGCCGAAGAAAAAATGTTATGAATTATATATTATTTAAAATATGGTTATAGTCTTTCCGAAGTCAATGGGTTTGAAGGTATACACACTAGTCGAATTTATGCCATATATATCTATTTTATTTATTTTTTTTTACAATTTTTTAAATAATCAAAATAATCACCTCTCAGCCAAACATCGCGCAAGGAATCACCGCCCTGTATAATTTTTGTGGTCGACCTTTGGATTATTTGTCTTCTTCTATTCACGTTGTGTCTTTTTTGCCAAACATCTCGCAAGGAATCAACGCCCTGTATAATTTTTGTGGTCGATCTTTGGATTATTTGTCTTCTTCTATTCACGTTGTGTCTTTTTTGCCAAACATCTCGCAAGGAATCACCGCCCTGTATAATTTTTGTGGTCGACCTTTGGATTATTTGTCTTCTTCTATTCACGTTGTGTCGTTTTTGCCAAACATCTCGCAAGGAATCGCCGCCCTGTATAATTTTTGTGGTCGACCTTTGGATTATTTGTCTTCTTCTATACACGTTGTGTCTTTGTTTGCCAAACATCTCGCAAGGAATCACCGCCTTGTATAATTTTTGTGGTCGACCAAATTTGGATTATTTGTCTTTGTTCAATTCCCGTTCATCTATTTAGTTTAAGTTTAGTTTAAGTAATTCATAATTTAAAATTCTTTCAAAAAATAACTCATAAACACGCCTATGTGTTCTTCGCGAATATACTGTGATTTCTATCCCCTCCATCTGGAAAGAAGCAGAAGAAGAAACACACTCGATCTACACTCTTGTCGTGATATGACAACGATTCTCGTTCTCCCGCAGAAAATTGTATATATCTCTCTCTCTCGTTCTCACAAGTATACCGGCCGGTTACGTCAAGTTACGTGAATCACGAGTGTGTGAATACCCACATCCAGAATGCTCCAGCCTCCAGCAACGCTCCATCTCCTGCTTCAATAAAGGTAAGAAATCACAGTCATCTCTTTCTCTCTCTCTATCTCTTGCTCACACGTTCTAACAATCATAAACCCGATTGATTATCCAGGGATTACACATGATCCAGACTCTTATAAATCGAGACAGATCTCGAACAGTCTTCTTCTATTCACGTTGTGTCTTTTTTGCCAAGCATCTCGCAAGGAATCACCGCCCTGTATAATTTTTTTGGTCGACCGAATTTGGATTATTTGTCTCCTTCTATTCACGTTGTGTCTTTTTTGCCAAACATCTCGCAAGAAATCACCGCCCTGTATAATTTTTGTGGTCGTCCGAATTTGGATTATTTGTCTTCTTCTATTCACGTTGTCTCTTTTTTGCCAAAAATCTCGCGAGGGATCACTGCCAGTATAATTTTTGTGGTCGACCAAATTTGGATGCAAAGAAAAAACAAAATACACTAAGTCGGTCGACCACAAAGTTTCATTACAAAAATTGACTTTTTGTGACTAGTTTCGGCTCAAACAGCCATCTTCATACACAATACACAGTACATGTAAAGATATTTAGTTTACAAGGATAATGAGATATTGAGAAACAAACATACCTATAAGGCCACGTGGAAATCACATAATAAAATAGAATGAAAAATATTAAGGAGCAGTGGTCATTGGCCAAAAATCAGTCCGGTAAAAAAATATTAGAATTTTTGAACCGACTGAACGCCAAAAGAACCCAACAATCATTAGGTTCAACATTGGCACAAACTTGGGAAAATTAGCAAATAATTCACTCAGAGGAGTTTCATCTTCAAATGGCCATTTTTGTGAAAGACAAAAGCCAAGAAGGCAAAGCGTCAAGCATAGCAACAGACGTTGACAGAATATTAAGACAAATGACAGTGACAAATGATGCAAACCAAATGACATGTACAATTCGCGGGAATCAATGTTACCAGGTGGCGCTCAGTTTTCATCGTTCCATGTCAAAGCCATGTCAAAACTGGGGGAAAACAAACTCAATCCTCACTCAATTGACTCAATCCCAGTAGTGCCATTAGCTTGTGTACTGTGTACTGATAAGAGTGATGTTTTTAAATTTCTTGACATCAATTGTCAATATTCGATCGAAAACGCTAATAATGCCTGTTGTAGATGTTCTTTTGGCTGATATTTTGCTCTATTCAGATGGAAAAAGCCGACCAGTAGTGAAAGGAGAAGCAGTTCTTCGTGCTAATCATGTGATTTTGTGTGAGGCAGAAGACTTCAACAAGAGGCACATTTTTGCACTTTGTCTACAAACTTCGGCGATGAAATCTTCCACACATGAAGTAAAATTGAAGTTGGGGTCTAGATGAACTCCTGTAGAACAATGGATTTGTATTTGTTCATGCAAAACAGGACAATCTGGGTATTGTAAACATGTTGTAGCTGTTCTTTTATTTGTCAATTGATTTGCTCGTCATAATTAATTTGAATTGTTTGAACTATCTCCAATTTTTCACCCGTTCACTGTTCGCTTAGCTAAAAAAATGTAATGATGTACAAAAATTAACCAACTCAACCATCATCACTACCAACAGTGCCAACACTAATTGACAAGTTTGACTACAGCTACAGCAAGCTGAATGCAATGTAGTCTATACACTTTATCCATAGACAACAGTTTGTTTTCCCCCAGTTTGAAGTTCGTATTATGTAACCTAGATGTCGCCCACTTCGTGAATCTCGCGAATATAAGAGTAAATTTTGAACATTATGAGTTATGATACTATTACAAATAATTTCTGAAAACTGAATTAAATTTGGATTATTTGTCTTCTTCTGTTCACGTTCTGTCTTTTTTTGAAATGTCTTAAGGTGCTGGCGGAGGGACGACAGAAGGGCGGCTCGCCGCACGTGGACAGTTCGACGGGCGATTCGGGCCCGGCCGGCGCGAAGGTCAAGTCGGAGCTGTCCGAGGCCAGCAAGGACGACCCGAACGAGGACTGGTGCGCCGTGTGCATGGACGGCGGCGAGCTGGTGTGCTGCGACAAGTGCCCCAAGGTGTTCCACCAGTACTGCCACATACCGAATCTGCGGGTCGAGTAAGTTGCATTCAGTTTGATGGGACAGAAATTCAAAGAGTTGAAAAATCGTTAGTACACCGCATGCGGGTAACATCGCGTTATTCGAGCTCTATTCGCTATTGACAATATCACGTCGCCCCATCTGACGACAACAATTTGAACACTTCTGAGCGGTTTGTTCTGGAGGATTGACCAATAATCACAAATGAAAAACAAATGTGAACCAATGAAAACAAAGTAAATAGACCGCTTTGACAGCTTTCAATAACTACGATAGGTGGCGTACGCTTATTTTCTATCGCGAATAACGAAACGAGCATCTGATATCCCGATTGATTGTCATGCTGCCATACGCTTGATACCAGTCCTGCGAAATTTTGAATAAGCAAAACTTCATGATTTATGCGAATATGAGGAAGGAAAATATCTTTATCTACTCACTGCATCGAAAGTAAGCGTTTGCTCCCTGATTTAACGACACAAATCGGTCAATTTACTCCCGAAGGAGGAAAAAATATTAACTCTCGTGGGAGGTAAAATAAATTGGATTTAGCTTGCTTCCTTGGTAGAGATGTAGGTATAAGATCTGTGCTATACAAGTACCTAATCAGTGTCTCTATCACTACTATAAAACATAACAATAGCACGTGTTTTTGTAACCAAATAGTTCAAATGTATTGCAAATTAGGGCTCACATTATTTATTTTCCACCAAACCGCGCCACCGTAACATGAGGTCAGGGTTGGTAGAACTGATAAATATTCTTCTTATTTTTTTGTCATTTGGCCTTTTGGTATGATTTCTCCGTCAACGTGAATTAGGCGTAAAGTTCCACATCGAGAGTAAAAAATCGTAAGACGGCTCACGTTCTTCGATAACTTGAGGATTTCTATTTGTTCAAATATTCTACATAATTGTTTTCGAATATTTTCGATAAAACCGGCCATAGCTTTTAGGGCTATCCGACAAAATTTTGGAGTTTTCGACTTTGACATTGACCTCACGTTTTAGTAGCTCCAACTGCGACTTCAGATAGTGCAGGATAAAACTATTCCTCCAATGACCTGCTTCAGTGTTCGAGACACAGATTTCTGCGCGAGACGTGCAAACTTGTATGCTTGTGAAGCGAATTGTTTATACATTGTATAAAGAATTGACGGAATTGCTTAGTAGAAACTGTTTCATACAGGGTGAGTCATAACTATTGGGACCTAGGCTAAGGGCGGATTGTTCGGACCAATATATGGCGATAGGACCAAATATGCCTTAATAAAATATTGCTGTGACTATAAACTCGCACCAAAATTCATTCACTCACAAGAAATGGAATTCACCAACAACAATTATCTGACAGTCCAAAGCACACTCTTCATAAATTAAATAATATTTTAAATTCCCTTCCAAGACTTTGACCTCTCCAATTACGTTTTACTCGAAAACGAATGAAAGTATCGGTTTTAAATAGGAGTACCAATATTGCGTAGATATGATGATTATGTCATATTTTCCAATCAAAATCACGAAAAAGTTTTGTCAAAAAAAGTTATCAGTCGATTTCATCATCAGGAATCATTCACGCCCCCTGTAACAAACTGTAGAATAATACATAAAATAATATTCCCTGCATAAAATTATGCTTTAGTGCCGATTTTGATAGCAATTGATAAGTATAAAGTGAAATTATTATCAAAAAACGAAAAAAATGCAGCTTTAACGACCTGTATATTTTTCCACAGTAATATTTTATCAAGTCATATTAGGTCCTATCGCCGTATTTTGGCCCAAACAATCCTATGTCCCAATAGCTATGACTCACCCTATATATGACACAAGTCATCCTGATTACATGAGAACTGAATTTAACGATGAAAACTAGAATCGGATTGCCAAGGGAATACATGTTACTAAAGATGGAAAGTATTTTATTCAATATCCTTGTTTATAAATACAGCCATAACTATAACCTTCACCCTTCATTATGCAAAACAGATTGCGAAAAATCTGCCTCCAATGTGCGTTTAGCCACGTGTTTCTGAAAACCTGCATGCAGTTACCCTGTGCTATGTTGCCTGTGGGGCCCTGCGTGAACTGTGTGTCCTGCGTCTCAATTTGCGCCCGTGCTAATTTTCTTCTCAGTATTCGATCCTTCCTCATCCGTTGTTCTTCATCATTTGTTGAATGGATTTCGCTCAAATATCACTTAATTTTTTTTTATCTCTTGGAGAGCGCAAATGGAGATTCCTATAATGTATTTCTCTTCATGTACATGTTATCATCCGTCATTTGTCGTGTTGACATCTTGAACGTTTCACTTTTGACATCTTGTCACCTTGACAATTGACGTTCCTTGAATTGTAACCTAAATTACGTGTACGAATGTCTCCTGATGTTACATCAAAGAGCACAGGGCGCTCTCCAAATAAGATTGTAATATTTCATTCATTGTCTACCAATATAATGTTTTTCCATTTATTTAAAATTCTACCACGAGTGGCACTGTGGGACGGAGATTTCAATCACCAAGTGTGTTCTAAATGTTGACCGCGCTGCGTCCTAGGACATAGTCCTTCACAGCTAATATGGTGAAATGCTCAGAGCGAGCGAGAGTTCAAATGTTTGGGTTGCTCTATTGTGATCTCTATAAATTAACATTGATTGTTTGTGGAAAAATTAAACCAAAAAACCACATTATGACATTCAAGTAGCATGATGCTGTGGTGGGGGAGGGGTGAGGATTTGGATGGGTTTTGAAGGCTGAATAGGGAGTAACAGACTGAATTTTAGCAGATCAAAGTTGTAGCACAAAGCCTGTGTGTGTATCCATTGGCCGGGGCCAATAATATATACTCGGAGGTCGTTCGGCCGGACCAAAGGACCAAAGCGTTCAATCTTTAGGCCGACCAATTCACCTCCAAATCTAATGTTATGTCCGTTTCTGGACGTTTTCAGGGTGCTTTCTCGGAAGGCATTTCCACGACTTCCAATAATAACAAGTTAATTTTACAATGGGGAAGACATGTTTTGGTCTATCATCAGCCAAGGAACGATTATATAGGTCACCCAATTAATTATTTAATATTCGGATAAGGATTTTCATAAAGAATTCAACAAATATTGTATATACCGTGGGACTAGAGTAACGAGTGACTGCACCCCTGAGTGTTAGTTCTACAAACAAACTACTCTCTTGATTAAATTGGTTCTTTTAGTCCCGTGACTATCTTCCCTGCTAGCAAAAAACAGCGTTGCTAGTTTACCTTTTTCAAGAGAAACGAAACTTGAAAAAATGATGTGGTATATTATTACCAATCGCAGTTTATATTTGATAAGTATTTCAGATCGGTCACATATAACCGGTATATTCCAGTTAAGAGTGAAGTAAACCCGCCTCACACTAGGAATCCCGCCAAATACAAATATCTGTGAATGGTTGCAGAATTTAGAGGCGAACCAATCATATCTTGCTGTAGTGGACAGTGATAATAGGTATATCTTGCAGAATACAAAATGAATGTTTTTGAGTGCAATACAAGACTGTCAACTAGCCACATGGATTGTTCATTATTAAGAAAATATCGCTAGTGTTATCTCGTCTAGATCAAAGAAAAGCGAGGTCAAACAATCCCTATCTCATTGTGGGCTTTATTTATAAGTGGAATGTACTATGCCTGATATATCAATGTCAGGTAACACCATTCCCACAAGGTCCACTATATCTATGCTCTGTATTTCCATCAGCAATACCCTTTCATGGGATAATCATGTCATTTCCATCGCGAAGGTTGCTTCACAAAATCTCGGAATTTTGTTCCGTGCGAAAGGCTACTTTACACCTTGACAGCTTCTCATGATCTACAAAGCACAGATACTGCCTGTTCTAGAATACTGTTTCCACATATGGGGTTCAGCAACAAAACATACGCTGATGCTCTTAGATTTCATCCAGAGAATTCGCCTCGTGGGGGATGCCACACTCACTATGTCTTTGACATCGTTGGAACACCGTAGAAAAGTCGGCGACCTTTCACTTATAGATACATCCACGGAAAATGTTCTTCAGAAACCTCTGCTATCATTCCATCACTAGCAATACCACCCTCTATTTGTCAACCTCGAAATATGTCGAACAGCACTTTATCAAAACTAATTTGTCTATAGAACGGCAAAGCTCTGAAATTAATTGCCTGAAGGAAGTATTCCCGAGACCTTATAATATAATTCCCAAAAGTTCAAACAAATTCCAATACATACCTTCTCTCGCTTTCCTTCCTAGGTACGCACGATGTTCTTCGACCATTATAAGGAATCCCTTTTGTGTGCACAAGCGATAAAAAAAAGGATTCAAGAAAATTCATCAAATTACTATTTCTTTAATAAATTTCTTAATCCTTCGAAAATCCTTATAACAGTAAAGAAAACATGTACTGTATTGTTTTTTTCAGGGAGAATGACACCTGGCAATGTCTTTTGTGTATGAATTTCGCCGATATTCCTGAGAGCATTCTGTCAGAGAAAAAAGAAGGGGAACTAAGTTTGAAAGAGAGAAAAATTGCCGAAAGGCTGGTTTTGGAATTGTACTGTCAGTACGATCCTAGTCTACCTTTCAGAGAAGTTATCGGACCAGAGGTAACATTCAATAGAGGATGAAAACTAGCGATATCATATGGCATCTTGTTTTTTTTACAGAACGAAGAGTATCATTCTATCATAAAGCAGCCAATTGCTTTAGACACTATAAGACAAAAATTGAATTGGAACGCAGAGATTCACTACAGGAATATGGAGGATTTAGTGAGAGATGTGCGATTGATGTTCAAAAATGCCTACACCTACAATCCAGTGAGTTATATTTTCATGTAAACCTTGATCTTTAATTCAAGATTCTATTCGCGATCGCCAAGGTCATTAGATGACGTTGCGATGACATTGAAAACTACGGGAAAACATGTCTAACTTTCAATCCATACCAGGAGTTAGGAATATTTTCCCGTAGTTCTGAATGTCATCGCAACGTCATCTAATGACCTTGGCCACTGCGAATATAATTTTCCCCATTTTTATTCAACATAACCTAACATTTAATGACGTTACTCCATGCACTAATAGAAGGATGGGAAAGTAAGTACAATTTGTTAATTTAGTTATATCAACAAGACTATTCAAAAGTAAAAGATTGTAATCAGTAGGGCCCTTTCAAAGTATTCAAATGATTCACATTTGGGGATTATTTCTCTGAATGAAGGGTAAATAATATTAATTGCCAGTGATGATTATCTCAAGAGAATCATACAGAAATGCTCGATATCATCAGAGTTACTACATATATTTGCGTTGATATTAAACTGAGACTGAGGCTAGAGTATAATAATTGAATCCAGTCGAATAAAAAGGAAGTGGATTCCATTTATAATATCTTGAAAGGAATATCTTAAACTTATACCACTCAAGTGTTTCCGTTTTCTACCCCTGCTATTTTGTCTCACAACACGCCACCCCCGGCTGTTAGGCAGCAAGCAAACGGTATTCACTATGTCATTTACAGGGACCTTCAATTTTATAATTTTGCCAAATAGCATCAATGAGACAGAAAGGGACTTTGCTCATGTATAAATACTGTTTTCAGTATCAACATCTACGCCAGCCAGTTGTATCCCATAATTTCTGCCAGAATCCAATGATATTGTAGAAAAATATTTTCATTGGATCAAAACTGTCATAGATTTCAATTCGTATATCAAGAAGGTGATAGTCCCTTTCGTTCGCCTAATTAATAATTCAATTGAAATTATGTCTAGTGGACTGAGAATGCTTCAATCTAATTTTATCAATGAGATTTATGATGAATCAAACTGTTTTAAAATGTTGATAACGATTGTTCAAAATAATAAGAAGTACCTAACCTCAAAAATATCCAAAACATGTGGTTGATCTGAACTTCTGAACCATAACAAAAATATGTATTTCCTTGTATATTTCCATATTAGAGAACAATGTGTTGAGTAAATCAGTGTTAAAATGAGGAAACAATTTTATTCAGATCATAAAAAAGTTGCAAAAGCAAATATTTCTGAACTAGACAGTGAAATGCTGAATCATTTTCCTGCAACACAACTTCGTGAGTGCTTTCTGAAAATCAGAGAAAGAAAAGGTATTTTTCACGAAATTTGTTAATCTTCAAGATAATTTATTTTATATTCATGTTCCTAAACCGGAATATTGTCTCTTTGAATGTTGAATTATGAATCTGACAGATGAAGAATATACGTACCTTAACTAGATTGAGAATTTTTCTCAGAGTATTTCAATTAATTGGGATTTTTTTTTAAGAACACTTATTCAATGCATTAATGTGTTGTAGACGGTCGATGTATATGCAGGGTTGTGACTTAAGTACAATGTTCTAATTCAATGAATTCATTTGTTTATTAAATAATAAGATTTGTGAAAAGTAAGTTACACACAAAGTGGAGTAAACTAAGATAAATTTATGCAGCAACATTTAGCAATTATCAAGTAACATTTATCATTTAACAAAGCAATTCAAAGTTGAACTGCCTGTTTTCAATGAGTGTGTTTATGCAGACATTTTTCAATTTTCAATTAACAGGTAAGAAGTTGGTCAACTTTTAACTTTGTTACTTCAATTAAACCAAGTCTTCTTCTATTGCGCAACTAGTACGCAGATTATCGTGCATTGACAGAGTAAGCGTCAGATTGATCAGACCCTAACAGATAATGAAAATGTACTTCAAATAGTTTCTATATAAAAACAACTAGTACTAAATAACATTATAATTGTAATGAAATGTATCTTGGTCTCTTCTAGATCAGAAGACATTTTAAAATTAGAAATTTCAGCTACTTATGTAGATAATAGGCGAGTGGACTATTTTTTTTTAATTTCTCAAATAGAATCATCACTCAAATATTTTGTAAGAATTTTTCGGTCGATTTTTAGTTGCTGAAATCATCAATAATGCCACGGTAATTTAAAAATAAATAAAAACTGACGCCATTATTTCGTAAGTAGGGGTAGACCATAGCACGGTTGCCATGTATTGAAATACGATTGGGAACTTCAGAAATATTAGTTATTCTATAGTTCATAAATTCTCAATTAAGTATTGGTAATATTTCTAATTAGCAAAAGAGATTCAATTGTCTCAAAATGCTCCCTTATGATTTGTGGCTTATTGCTTATAATAAATTTGTGTAAATAATAATTATTTTAGTTCACACTAGAGGACATTTGAATCGGTGAACGTGACAATTCGGCGCACGAATTGCCGGCTTGGTCTTGTCAATTCTCAGCATTCAGCACAATGTTGCCAAGTTTCCAACATTTACATGATATTTTTTTATGGAGAATAAGAAATATTTGGACATGTTGGTTGCTCTAAAAAGTCAAGAATGAGCTTTATCATGGGTTCCTCCTATTATGTTTTATTCAACGACAGGACTCTTTCATCTTTTCGATAACTTGATTATAATTGGTGACTTGCCAACTTTGCTTAATGAGTGGAAATGGAAGATTATCTGACCAAAAACGAAACTGCATAAAAACTTAGGTTACCATTTATTGGACGTATCGCCAAATGAAGGCCATGACGGTCCGTTTGAAATGAGCTCTGAAATTCAACAACTTCGTACTCATTATTCACATAAAAAAGCGTGAGAAGTGTTGCAAAAATCAATTTAGGTTCCTACTAACGACACAGTTGAGTACTAATCTTCAAGGTAGACACACACTACACTACTCTACAGGGTGCCCGACACGCCAGGAAATAGTGGAATATCTTGAGAAATACTCGTCAGAAATTGAAAAACACGAATTCAATAGTTAAAAACTCGCCTACCCACTTCCACCCCATGAGAATGGAGTGAAGGGCAACTTGAAATCTTGAACGAAAACCCTAATTTTTATCGCAAATTCGTGTTCTACACCAAAAACTACGTTAGCTTTATTTTAGAATCGTGATAGATGGCGCTGTAATCTATTGTGTACTAGTTTTTTTCAGTTTACAAATCAAGATAGCGCTTCGGATATTTGACAACATTGTAATTATATGTGTCTGAATTGAATTGATTTTAATGCATTACGTAACAGAAGATTGTTTTGTCGATGCGTGTATACACTGTGTTTCCAGAATTGGGACGATAAGTTAAGTGGGTAAGTAATAGAAGACAAATAAACAAAACGAAAAGAGAAATACATTTCTAAAAACTGTGTAAGTTAATCGAGGAGGGGGTATATTCATTATGTTTTTTTTTTCAATATACCTGTTCAGTTGATATAGATAAAACATGGTATTCACTACTGAATCTGAACATGGTTATATCATGATTAATCATTGAAAACATGTTGCTACTCATTTGTTTGCCAACGTCACAATCTGTCGCTAACAAGTGTCAAAACTAATACCTAACGACAATTTGTGAAAACATATTTTCCATTTTTATGTTGAAAACGGGAGCAGATTCGTTCCCGAAACGTCCAAAGATGAGTGAAAATTTGATATTTTTTCTATACAGGGTATGCAATAAGTCATGGATCAAAAGAAGTGGGGTGGTAGGGGGGTCATTTGCAATCAAACTAACGGTGTATATGGTTATCAAATTGTTGATTGTTAAAAAGTTATTCAATTTTTCTAAAAAACTCGACCCATTTGACAAAAATTAATAACAAATTTTCAATAACCCCATATGTTATACCATTTCGGAATCTGTATTAAATGGGAAACTTTTTCTTTTGATTGGTTATCTTTGTGGGGTAGCTTTTAAATCTGCCAGCAGCATTTAAAAACCAACTGAATTATTTTATTCAATGACAAAACATGAGGAAAACAAGGTAATTGATACGAAGTAACACAAGTCATATAATTATTTCTGGGGAAAGGTGCATCCATGCGGATGAAATTTGCAAAAGAAAAATTCACAAATGTGACATAGTTTTATTATAATGAATTCTGTTTTTAGAAATGAAAAATATTAACTTCTGAACCATCAACAATAACCACATATACAGTTACTGTTATCAGAAATGACCCCTTCTATCATCCTACTTCTTTTGATCTCTGACTTATAGGGCACCCTGTATACCCATATTTCTCTTCTACAAACTTTTTTCAAAACGAAGTGTCAATGACCAACGATTGAATTTTTCTTTTAGGCTCTCTGATAGGAACATCTTTGAACGCAGTGACATTCTGGGGCAAACCATCTGGTTTGTCTTCACTACATGTATATTGAAAAAATACTCATATTTTTATTTAAGAGAATCTAGAGAAAATTTTTAAAACCTGTAATAATAAATACATTTCTATCGAAAAAACATCATTTTGGAAGACACTGAAATCAAAAGTCAATAGCCGAACCCGAACGTTCGCTTTCAGTGAGGTCAGAAGCACCCGAAATATCATTGACTTTTGCAATGTTCACGTTTACTAATAGTTGAAATATGGTATGGCGAGTAGAAGACCATAATTTTTGAGAAAATTTGTTGATTCAAAGAATTATTTTTTGGATTTATTGCGTCATTACGTCTCATACAATACTCCATTACATCGCTCCAATTTCGGAAATGCCTTGTAAAATCCGATTGAATATCAGTATTTTGGTAATACAGTGGGTATCATTTATGATCTTTCATTGATGTTTCCAGGTGGATTCTCAAGTTTATCAGGACGCGAAAGCGCTAGAGAAATTTTTCGACGAACAGCTTGAAAAATTCCTTCCAGAATACGCCTACATGTTCGAAGAGGATGAGGTCCAACCCCCTAACAAGAAATTTCGGAGGGTAATTACCGACTGACAAATTGTCCATGGGGCGAATAACACCGTTTACTTCTCCCTATAACATTGACTTGCGCATGGTATTCAGGAAAGCTTCATCGGTTGGTGAAATTGATCGTTTTCTCGAAACAAGTCGGTTGGATTCAATATTGTTATTCTTTATCATAATCTTTTCGGCGTATGTAGTTTGTACATATAAAGTTATTAGCGAGAGTATTATGAACAACCACACCTTTTGGTCAGTAGGAAAAGACAGGCATTGATTGATGGCATAAAAGTTCTGTTCATCTCACGTTCTAGGAAAATAAAGAATATGTACGTAGGGCCAAGATGAAGAAAATACTTAATGGGTAACAGTGGTCAGATAGTGATGAAAATTTTCTAAAACAACTCTAAAGCGATTATCCAGAATAGGTTAGCTAATAATCATGAGGTCGACATTCTTAAAGGACCGCCAGTAGACCCCAATAAACTCAATAAAAATCAAATAAAATTGAAGCAGATGCTCAAATCGAGCCCCATCTTGTAAATTTGAAGATACATATGGGTTTTCCACCACTAGCTCTAGAACCTACCATTACTGATTCCATTGAGTCTTGAAGTGGTATTTCTATTGCTCAGCCTACTCAAGTTAGTTTATTTTCTATGGTTATTTCTGTTCATCGCACTTTATAAACATACAGGCTGATTCACGGTGGATGGCACATTAGACGTTTCTGGTGAACCAGACAACGGATCATTTTGAAAATTCGATGGAGGGCATATTCGGACATTCTCTAGCCAACTAAAATATTTGCGACAATGCGGTGTTGCCGCTTCTATTAGAAAGCAGTAGCAACTTTGATTTTTCAAATGGAACACTCTGTATTTTATTGCATTTTTAGATTCTCCCTGAAGATCTGATTTCATCGATGTAGCACACTTGGGGTCTAGCGGAAATGATTACAGAGATATAGGGTGTGAAAAATCGACATTTTTCAACTTTAGGATTATTTTGTGTCGAAACTATTCATCATTGGTCAAAACGGCTCACATGTCCCTATCTCAACTTTTGATTAACTATCTACTGATATTTAATTGGGACATATACCGGGTGATCAAGATTCTGAATTCTGCACCACCCTGTATTTGGTTCAATTAAATGTCAGTAGATATTTGATCAAAAGTTGAGATAGGGACATGTGAGCCGTTTTGACCAATAATGAATAGTTTCGACAAAGAAAATTCCTAAAGTTGAAAAATGTCGATTTTTCATACCCTAAATCTCTGTAATCATTTTCGCTAGACCCCAAGTGAGATACATCGATGAAATCTGCTCTTCAGGGAGAGTCTAAAAATGCAATAGAATACAGAGTGTTCCATTTGAAAAATCAAAGTTAGTACTGCTTTCTAATAGAAGCGGCAACACGGCATTGTCGAAAATATTTTAGTTGGCTAGAGAATGTCCGAATATGCCCTCCATTGAATTTTCGAAATGATCCATTGTCTGGTTCACCAGAAACGTCTAATGTGCCATCCACCGTGAATCAGCCTGTATATGGTCATAGACAAAAATCAAGTTCAGCAGGTTGAGCAAACACAACGATGACATAACCACCCAGAATTAGTTTGAATTCACCTATGCAATTTCCGCATGCTAGAATTGAACGAGTCCCAATTTCATCCAAAATGCGGAAAAAGGGAAAGAATTATAATACAATAACTGAGATAAAAAACAATAACTGTTTGTGAATACATTGTAATAAGCGCTGCAATCACCTATCATACATTCCATTGAGTTTCGCGTTTTGCTCAGTATTTGGTAATACTAAATATTATTACTTATACATTACTGTTTTTGTTTTTCTTTCCGTAATTTAGTATGAAAAGCACAAACAGCCCAGGACACAATCAAAGTTTTTGATTTTATTTACAACCGTATATGTGATGTTGTCATTACTAACGTCATTGAAGGGTGGGAAGTGTCACATTTCACACCTCTACTTCCCGCCTTCACTTATGTTATATTTTAGGTATATTCAAAACCATACAGAGATTTATTTATTTTGATCGAAATATGATGATTATAAATAAAATAGTATAGAAACCTCGGTAGGAAGTTTCATTCTTGTCTGGAGATCATAGCTAACCTCGACGCTTTGTGTCTCGGTTAACTAACTAATCTCACGACAGGAATGAATCTCTTCCCACCTCGGTGTGTAATATACTATTTATATTCCAGAAATATCGACGAAAACGACAATTTCAAACGATTTAATAAGGTTACACATATTCCATTAGATTGGCAATTCAACAATACTACGTAGTACGTTCCCGATACAAATTAACACGCACATGAATTTTTAAGAAAAATCCCTCCTGGTATGTTTTGGGAACTTGATACAACCATTCCTTGATTCCTTTTCTGGAAACCGGTATAACATCTACCTGATATGGTGAAATTGGCACCGCAAGGAGTCAGAAAACCAAGAATAACAAAAAAAATAAGACGATAATCTACGCATTCTCTTCATCTGATGCCATTGCCAAGGCAAAGCTAACGAGAAGTATGAAAACTGTCAAATATCTAATAAAGGATCATCACCAACAATGCAATGATATATACTGAATCCGATTTGATGAATGCACTCAACAGGAATTATTTTAACTTCTTTCTGAATTCAGCTGAAGAGGTATTTCACAATAAATGTCACTATCCATTTGTTTCTCTGTATTTGGTTGCATCTGTTATGATTTATAGTTGGACATTTTTTTACCTGGCAATCATTATTTCATTCTTCAAGAGTGTACACTATGGCACCGATAAAACGATGTAAAACTCATTGATGATATGAACGGTTTTCGACCATATCTTCGTAGTTATTTGGTGTCAAATCTAATAATGTCGATTTCGTAATACATGTCATATTTAAAATAATGAATTCAATTTTTGAAATAACAGTATTATACACTCTGTACTATTTTTCAAAAAATATCCTAAAATATTGGATCGTTTCCATACTTTGTGCTAACCCTATATACAAGGTGACATAGTTCTCAGAGATTCAAGGGGAATTGAAAATTGGAAAAATTATTTAATTCTTATTACTTTCCCACCACATCTGATGCGTTCGACACAATAACTGCAAAAATCAAAATGATTTTGTGAGTCTATTTTATTTGAAAACTATCTGGTAGTTCTTGAAATCATAAAGACCATTAGAAATTCCAGAGTGTGACCGTTATGACCGTTTCCGCTGAAAGTGAATGAGTATAAAATATTGAACAATTTTCGAAATTCCTGAATATATGGCTCAATTGTCTAATTTAAAGAATAAGGTGAATCGAAATTGAAAAAAAAAATTCGTCGCACAGAAGATCTGATCTGGGAGAGAGCTTCATTATTCAATGATTATAATGGATGAACAAAATCAAGCATGCACCAATAAAAAGTTCGTGAAACAGGGTATTATTGTCCGTGACGTATTTATTGTGTGGATAATTTCCACTACACCTTTTCCAGTTGTATTTCAGAAACCGTCAAATGTATTTCAGAAAAGTCACGTGTATTTGAGAAAGGATCAATAGTATTTCAGAATAGTCAACTCAATTTCAGAAAGCGTCAATCGTATTTCAAAATGACTCAATTCAATTGACGTTTTCTGAATTTGAATTGACTATTCTGTAATAAAATAGACGCCTCCTAAAGTCCAATGGGCTTATATCACAAAAAATTTTATTTCATAATTCGATAGAACTCACCCAAACTAGCTCACCACCGCAAACCGTTTCTTGCTGTGAGCTCCCTACGTTTTATAAAAAATTATTGAAATCCCCGATTTTTCGGACCTCTGAAAACGAGGCGATGATGTGACGTCATAACCCTAATACTGAAACAAGACTATTCCAGACAGAGATGAATGATACATGATTTCTGACAAAGGGAATTAGCGCGAGATCACAGTTGAAAGAAATAATATATCAGTTGCCTCAGTCTCCGTCGGGCGTTTGGTATTTTCTTTTAACTATGGCGAGATGAGGTTTCTACGTCATAAGAGGGTCCGTTTTCAGAAGGTACTATTATTTATGTCAAAAAATAAAACATTCCAGTTAATTTTTCGATCGTATTATGTCGTCAATCATTATTTATATATAAAAAGATCATTATAAACATGGTTTGAGTTAAAAGTTTCACTAAGGTGTACACGCCCATTGACGCTTTCTGAAATACAAGTGACTATTCTGAAATACAATTGTCGCGTTATGAAATTCGATTGTCGCGTTATGAAATTCGATTGACTATTCCGAAATATACAATTGACGCTTTCTAAAGTACAATTGACGCTTTCTGAAATACATGTGACTTTTCTGAAATACAATTGTCGCTTTATGAAATTCGATTGGCTATTCTGAAATACAATTGACGCTTTCTGAAATTCCATTCTATTCTGAAATACGATTGACGCTTTCTAAAGTACAATTGACGCTTTCTAAAATGAAAATGACTGTTCTGAAATACAATTCACGCTTTCTGAAGTACAATTGACGCTTTCTGAAATACAAGTGACGATTTCTAAAGTAAAATTGACGCTTTCTGAAATACAAGTGACTATTCTGAAATACAATTGACGCTTTCTGATTTATAAGTGACTATTCTGAAATACAATTGTCGCTTTATGAATTTTGATTGACTATTCTGAAACACAATAATTGACGCTTTCTGAAATACAATTGACGCTTTCCGAAATACAAGTGACGCTTTCAGAAATCGAATTGACACTTTTTGAAATACAACTGGAAAAGGTGTAGAATCCGCTCTATAAACTTATTACATATACAGCGGTACTCTTTATAGTAACAGAACTTTGTAAACTGGTCTTTGTTTTGGAATTACAGGGCGTTGAAATTGAAAATGTATGTTAACTTATTTTTTTATATAAACACTGTGAGCAATCGTTGCGGTAAAGGGTGCCAACATTCCAGAGTAATATATTTTTATTAAGGTATTAAGGTTATCCAGTAATATTAACGGGTGTTTTGAAAGGTGTCTTGAGAGAACTATCTGACACATGCATCAACATTTTTAGTCAAATTGGGTTTTCCGTTTTCATTCGAAAATTGTGTGTTCTATTGACTTATAACAAGAAGGAATATTTCTTGTTTTCTAATTTTAGGATAAAATTTGAATACAATACCTTACATGAAAAACATTCATATTGCCCTAACTACACCACTGGTATTCATGTCAGCTGAAAAATATTACGAATGTATTTGCTGTACAGATTGTACAGATTCTTGGTATGTCGCCAGAATTAGAATATCTCGTATGTTTGTTGAGTGGTTTACTAGTGATTGAAGAAAAGTCTTGTTTTTTTTTCTTTCAACTTGAACATTCTGTATCTGAGTCTGACGACCAATGTTTATAACAACTTTTTTCTTCTTGAAATAAGATATCAGTAGCCGACATTTTGCTACTATAAAGTGGACCACCCTGTA